ATTTAATTATGTCCGTATATAAAAATATACAGTTATGTATGAAGTGGTGATATAGTTATACAGGGTGTCTCAAACTAATCTTGGCTCCCGTGGTGTGCAAGTAGAACGGGTGAAACTGAACAGAAAAGTATACTATTTTTTTGCAAATAACACGCAAAATTTCAAGTTATCAATGATAGAAAATGGTTGTGTATAGAGGCTTCTTTAATTAATAGCTCAACAATTTGCGTGTTATTTACAAAATGGTGCGAGACTTTTTTGTTCCGAACAGTCTAATCTACAAGTATATTATAATCTATTGTACCTAACGACGAGTTCAAAGTTCAAAGGTCAAAGTTCGATATACCGATGTCTGTCGTTAAGTACAATAATCGTCATATACTTGTAGATTAGACTGTTCGGAACAAAAAAGTCTCTCACCATTTTACAAATAACACGCAAATTTTTAAGTTATTAATTAAAGAAACCTCTTTAAATGGCTAATTTCAATCACTGACAACTCGAAACTTTGCCTGTTATTTGCAAAATGGTACAAAACTTTTCTATTGATTTTCACCTGTTCTATTTGCACACCATGGGAACCGAGATTAATTTGGGACACCCTGTATATGTAAATATATTTATTTATGATAATAATAATAATAATAATATAGAAAAAAAAATATAAATAATATATTTTATTTATATATTTTTTTTATATTATTGCTATCTTTTTTTTTTATATTCTAAGAACATTTTTATAATATGCCAAGAATATTATGTGAAGTGAACATATGTCGTCAATAGAACATTCCTATAATATTAAAGAGTATTACATAACGATCTGAGAATATTATAAGAATATTATTTTAATATCGAACAATATAATATTCTAGGAATATTACGCGCTTAGAGTATCTGCAGGAATGTCATGGCGATTCGTGCTCGACGTAGCGACGCTTTTAAATCCAGGCCAAGTACATACGCCGAACAGGAAGACCTGCAGTGAATTTGTAAAATCGGCTGACAATCGAAAGTGGCGAGAGAGAGAGAGAGAGAGAGAGACTGTCTTTCGCGGACTAATCGCGAATGACGAATGATTTGTTCGCGCGAGTTCTCATCAGCGAACGACGCGAGGATCGCAAAAGGATACACGCAGAAATAGAAATCTGTTCCTGAGAAAACCTGTTACTCCACACGACTCTAATCTTATATACTCAATAGCGGAAAACTACTCTTACTTTATGATGGAAAAATCGATGGAAAATCGATATTTTTTTTTTTTTCATCCGATGACTTCTCTCATTCGAAGCAAATGCAACGTTTTCAAGGTAGTTGGCTGTCCGTAAATTGGTTTTCCTTTAACATATTAATTTCCATACAGCACAGAGGCTTGCAGTAACATCGCTGCAACGCTGCAACATTGGCATTTTGCAGTGCGACATCGCAAAAACGCTGCAAAGATATTATTTTGCAATATTACTTCAATAATGTTGCAGAATCTTTTCAAAACATCGTTAAAGTAGCATAATATTGTAATGTTCGATGGGTGCGTGTATTACGGGCTGTGTCCCGATATTCGCTGCTAATACTGAAAATGTATAGTTAATATTACGTTATATTGAATTGGATTATCGATCATTTCAAACTGCATTGAAAAAAAGTGTTCAAATTATTTTGGAATTTTAAATATGTAATGTAAACTGTAAATTAACAATATTGACACTGAAACATTGAAAAATCTGCGCGCATAAAAAATTTTTTGTTTTATATGCATTATTTATGCATCTCGCATACGCATATTATTACAAATAAATAAATAAATATATATATATATATATATATATATATTTTATAATTCAAACTGTTATATTTATGATTAAAAATAAATATAATTAAAATATGTTATATTTATAATTAATATACAAACTGTTATATTTATGATTAAAATACCATTCACACACACACACACACACACACACATACACACAGATTCATTTCTAACAAAATATTTATAATACAATATAAAGGTCGATATAACTTTAAATCATGAAATTATACGATTCTAAAACTTCTGTTAATAAATCCATATGTTTTAGAACGGTTTGACTTTAAATATGTTAAGGCTATTATGTCAGCATATATATTTACACAAAATAGTTGATTTGACTTTCGAGATAACGTCACAGCTTTCAAGGATTTCCGACGTTTCGTAAACATTTCAGTTTTCGCTTTTTCAGGATGGGGAACGACTCGAGATCAACCTGTAATCTCGGATCGCACTTCATTTTGAAGAAATGAACTTAAATGTTTGAGAAAGGTCGGAAATAAATCCATGAAGGAATCCAACTCAAAAGCCAAATCCAGTATTTATTCACAGCGCGGAAGCTTAAAAGAATCACACAAAGTATTGTTGAATATACAGGGTGTCCCAGACCACCCGTCTCACCCGATTTTTTCATAAACGCGACATTTTAAAGAAAAATGTTTCAGACAAAAGTTTTGTGACTTCGAGGGGCACATAAGATGGTGTCATTGGTTTGACCTTGGATAGTCGTTTGAAGATCACGTGAAGGTCACCTTTAATTTCTTAAATGGAAACCCCCATTTTTCAATGCATATTCTTGTAGCTTACCTCGAGAGCTTTCCAAAACGCTATGATGAAACGTTTTTTTAATCAGTACTTTTCGAGTTATGAGGAAGAAAGTTACGGTACCGCCGGCATTAGCATTACCCAAGGTGGAGGTTGCACGGTCGGATTTACACCTGTTTGTGTGTTTGTGTGTGTGTGTGTGAATGTGTGTGTGTCAACAGAGATAAGGACCCCACGGTTCGTCACTCCCGTAGTATTTATCGACTCCAAACCCTCTCTGCTGTACGCGCGCGTGTGTGTGTGTGTGTGCGTGTGTGTGTGTGGTCACCCAGTCGTGATGTATGACATGTCTGATACTGTCACGTAAGGTGTAACAAAATTCTCATTTACCAGCCATGTCGTATTCAAACGCGGAAGCTTGTGATGTGATGTTTATTTTAGGTGAATGTGATGGTCAATTTAGAGCAGCTGCAAGATTGTGGCGAGAACGATACCCAGATCGCGCTCCTCATTCGTACAAAGTTTTTTCTCGCTTAGCTAATCGAATTACCAATAAAGGTATTCTTCAACCGGATCACAATAAAGGTAGACAAATTCGACGCCAAGTTAGAGATGAAAGGATGCCGGAGATTCTTGCATCCGCTCAATTGCATCCCTGCCATTCATTAAGACGTACAGAAAGAGATTCTGGAATTAGTCGCAGCACGATCTGGCGAATTTTCCATGAAAACAAGTTGACACACACACATTCACACACACAAACACACAAACAGGTGTAAATCCGACCGTGCAACCTCCACCTTGGGTAATGCTAATGCCGGCGGTACCGTAACTTTCAATCCTCATAACTCGAAAAGTACTGATTAAAAAAACGTTTCATTATAGCGTTTTGGAAAGCTCTCGAGGTAAGCTACAAGAATATGCATTGAAAAATGGGGGTTTCCATTTAAGAAATTAAAGGTGACCTTCACGTGATCTTCAAACGACTATCCAAGGTCAAACCAATGACACCATCTTATGTGCCCCTCGAAGTCACAAAACTTTTGTCTGAAACATTTTTCTTTAAAATGTCGCGTTTACGAAAAAATCGGGTGAGACGGGTGGTCTGGGACACCCTGTATATTATATTGCAATGTTTCTACAATGTTACATTGCAATATTTCTATGAGCGAACATTTTCCTATTGTTACAATGTCGCAACAACGTTTCAAGCAAAATTTCATAATGTTCCTGCAATGTTGCAATCTTGCGGAAAAATATTGCTGCAATATGTTTGTAATCTTGTTGTGTGCTGTTTGGAAACCCTTACAATATGAAAAAGGATACTTTTTTGGTACAATAACGGGTCTGTTCGACGATTATTTCAACTAATTTACAATGGTTCAGAAAATCTGCGAAAATTCATGAATATATTTCCAAGGTTGTAGACCAAATGTATATAGTTAAAGTTGGACTATAATAAAATGTAGTACAGTTTATTTATAAAGAAGGTAATACAGATCGAGGAGAAAACTTTCAAAAGAAAAAATCGATTGAGCACCAAAGACTCATTATTACTACTCTACGGGTTAATTAACAATTTACATACGTGTAAAATTAGAAAAAGCTCGACCATATCGAAGCTGAGATAATGCGTTTACAGAACGATTTTTGAAAGTTTTTAAGATGTCTTTTTGATATATTTGATATTTGATATATACCTTATTTATTATTATTACTTTATTTCCTATTCTATTATTATTCTTTTCTATATTATTATTATTATTTTGTTATTGTTTGGAATCAATTTTATTTCTCTTATACCTCAAAAACTTCCAAAAGCCGTTCTATTTTTTCTAGACATTTTTAAGCATTTTTCGGAAGTTTTTTAAAAATTTTTGCTATGTGGATGATCTAATTTATTATTATTATTATTATATTGCATCAATATTACAATATTTCTTACTCGAAACTAGAGACACAATATAACATATGCTGTATATTACAGTTGTATCATTATTTATAATTTTATAATCTTATCTATTTTATTATTATGATATATTTTATCATTATTTTATTTTATTATTATTATCACTTTTTGTCTTATTACTATTATTTTGTTATTTTTAATTTGTTATTTTTTGGGAAGCCAGTTTTATTTCTCTCCAAAGACATCTTAAAAAAAAACCTCTCTTAAAGTCGCTTTATTTCCCTTCTTTTTTTAAGTTAAGCGTCTTTCAGAAGTCTTTTAGAAGTTTGTGCTATCTTGACGATGTCCGAATAAATGATTCGCTTTTGAATTCGTTTTTCAATACGCTCGCTCGCTATTAGCAATGTAATTTAACAGTCATCATGCGACGCGACGAATATGTATGTCCAATGCTCGCGATTGATTGGTTGCGCTTAACGGCTGACGACGAATGAGCGAGTGAGCGAACGAACCTCGTCAGCTGATCGTCAATCGCACTGTTGACATTGTAAGACGTATATCATTGGAATTCGCACTGTTGCGTCGTGGAATTCGCATCATTTGTACCATTTGCGTCTCGTTCCGAGCGAATATTTGAAGATGAAGAACGGCAACCAAATCATGGCGGAGGCCTTGAAGGAGCAGGTACGCTAAAGAATATCGCATTGCCGTTTTAAAGAGATACGTCGGAACTCTAATCGAGGACAACGTTCGTCGACGTCTCTGGATAGAATCTGTGGAATTTTTTTGGAATTTTTCGGAATACTTCTTCCGGAGACCTTTCAGCGAAAGGTCTCTCCTCTCTGACGAGTTAATTTCCACGAATTCACGGCGTGACTCGCGACGATTTCAACGTTGGTTCAGACGAGGAGTCTCTCGCGGAGTTGATTTGAAGGTTATGGTCGGCACTCGCTCGAGAAGTCCGTGTTAGACTACAGATTAAGGACTGTGATTGAATTGAATTTGGCCAATCAGTGCAAAGTTAACCTGAATTCTAATTTAGTGAAATTTAGTGAACTTTGCACTGATTGGTCAAATTTCAATTTAATCTCAAACTTTAATTCGTAGTCTGATACGGGCTTGATAAACGCGGAATCTGCGCACATAGTTTACATTCATTGTATACACATCGGATTTCCAAAAAGTCCGAATACTGTTTTCAATGTAGTTCGGTAACCCATTGAGGGAAACTTATTTTTAATATATTCTCCGAAGTTACGTATTTGCCGCTGTTGCGGCCGCTGCTAATTGGACGAGATTATCAAAAGGTTACGATCTTATCTTTTTTATGTTTTTATTTACGACTCTTGTTCCCTTTTCTAACGCCTTTTGATATTCTTCGACACTTTCCTCACCGGTATTTTTAGATGTGCCCTACAAGCGTATAATATTCCTAGAATATTATATGAATATTATTCAATATTAAAGTAATATTTTTATAATATTCTAAGAATGTTATATAATATATTCCAATATTATAGGAATGTTCTTAGACTATCAAAACAAAAATTATATATTTATTATATTAAAAAAATTATATATACATATAATTTTTCTTATTTATATTATTATCATTTTATATGTATATATATATATAATTTAATATAATTATATATATATGTATATATGTGTATATATATGTATAATTTTTTAAATATAAAATGTATTTTTGCACAGAATTCTTTCGACTTTATTTATATAATAAAACAATTGGAATTGCAATACATTTGAAATGAGAAACTACAATTATATATATTACATATATACATAGAGTTGAATATTTATATATATACATAGAGTTGAATATTTAAAAAATATATAATATTATAATAACAAAAAATATAAAATATTACAATTAAATAATATTACTATAATATTATTACTAGAATATTATTACCATTCATCTTAACTTCTTTTCTCATGATTTTGTCAATGTTAATTTTACGACTGTTTATTGCTCGTTCGAATAAAAGAAAAGTGTACGGATAAATTTTCAAGTGTACCGAATCGATCACAAATGCCATTTTTGTGAGTATATCGTTGAATGCAAAACACAATGACTCTTGACATGCATTTTCCGCTTCAAGCATCATCAAATAAGGACACTCGAATAGAAATTAAATCTAATTGTCTAATAATTGTCTAGCCATGGCATAGAAAAGGTGGATTTTACATCGCTACTAGCTAATAGTACTAGCTAGTCATTAGCTCGAAATGTAACGCTCACTTTTTCTAATGGCTGTATTAGAAAAATTAGCTAATAGTTAGATAAAAAATAATACATAGTCATGGGACGAAAAATCTCAGGTAGTCACTAGCCAAAAATGTAACGCTTATTTCTCTTAGTGGGTGTAACAGAAAAATTAGCTGGTAGTTAGATATAATAAAATGAAAAAAATTCTTTTTCTTTTCGTTGATTTCTCTTTCACTTTTTCTCTGTATCAGGAATATTTAATCCCTAGACAGCTTTCTTATCTCAGAATTTCTGTATCACGGATTTCTTCTAGTGGCTGGATAGTTTTTTTTTTTATCAGAGATTTGATTTATTTTTTTTCTCTCTCGAAGAAGTGATCCAATGTAGTTTTGGTTCTTGAAATTCTTCTTGATTACGTGTTATATCCAATTCTATGGAAAAAATTCGCTTTTCCCTGTTGGACTTAAACCTGAGACTCTGGCTTTTGAGTCGCCCATCTTACGTATTAAACCACTGTCACAGTCGCTAGTGAACGTTTTATATCGGCTACACATATTTTATTCAACGCAGTTCAATCTCATGGTTAGATGAAAAAATTATATAGTAACGAGATAGAAAATTCGGTAAATCCTTAATGGAAATTGAATATCAAACTCCGTCTAGTAACTGTCTGGTAGCAACATAGCAATCACGAATAGAAATTGAATGTCAAAATTGTCTATCCACTAGATAGTAAATTTGTGTTTTACATCATTGTCTATACCCAAATTTACTATCTAATGGTTAGACAGTTCCTACATCTAATTTTGAGATTTAGGATTTATAATATGTTGCTACTAAATAGTTACTAGACAGAGTTTGATATTGTAACATAACGATAATTTCGTGCGGACTAATATAATCCTGCTAGTGGCGAGATAGTAGACTATTTATTTGAGAAAAGACAGCATCATATCCACTACCATATTTCCAATCTAATGACTAAATAGCAGCTATATGGTTAAGAATATTTAAAGACTGATTAAGATCGATAGTTTCCTATCACATTACTGTATAATTTTTATCATCTACCCACTGTCTACGTAATTAGTATATTTACTAGACAATCCCGATACTCAGTTTCTATTCAAGATATATTGATGGTTTTTCCATGTCGTTACTGTGTAATCTTTTTCATCCAGTCAGCTTTTACATTTTATACTCCGAATGCTATTAACCCCTTGATATACAATGACGTCTGGGAGACGTCATTCATTTTATGTACCATTGTAGACTTTGACGTGTCCGAGATGTCAAGAACTGTCTCCGGCGGACGCCGTGTAGTATATTATTAGATTATTCAATTGTTTCACTTGTGCGTCGATTTTGTTTTGTTTAGAAGTTTGTTCAAGATGCTCCCCCCTTCTCAATAGTACCAATAACAAAATCGCATCGACAAACCAGTAAATCAGAAAGAAGTACATTGAAAGCAGTATTCAGTATAGTATTCAGTATTCAGCAGTGATCTCGCACGGCGAATGACATACTATATATTTGAATTTAGTAAAAATTAGAAATAATCCTTGTAACACGTCTGAGTTGAATGTATTGTATGAAAGTGACGATGAAGGTCTAATAGGCTATTCTAGGTGATGATAATGAGATTGAAAACGGTTATCAAAGTGTTCATACAGAAAGTGTTCATGCAGGAACATCCTGCAAAGAGATGCCATGTGTGCGTAAAAAATAATATAAGAAGCGAAACAACTTGGCAGTGTAAAAAATGTCTAGTTCCTCTACATGTTCCAAAATGTTTTGAAATGTTTCATACTTTAAAGAACTACTAAATTATTATTTTATAATGTTACTTAATCATTGTCCATTAACATTATATATCGATCTGATTAAATATTATATAGTAATGCAAATTTCAAAATAAAAAGTTCTGTTTCTAAGCTTGCACATAACTGTTCATTGAGTAAAATAGTATTTTTCGGACGCATCAAATTCCGTTTTATTTGTATGTCAAGGGGTTAAGTTAGCACGAACAGTTTATTATCGAAAAAAATTGAAAGAAAGAAATACCCGGTCTCTATATATTTTCAAAATAATTTTCATAAAATTTATTTTTGTCAAATATATTCTTAAAATATATCTTTTGAATAATTTTACGAATATATAAATAAAGCAAACAACGAGAGTTAGTATTTTTCCCTTTCTGCTTCGATAATTCGCATACAACTTAGAATTTAACAAGAAAACGACTGATTTATTTTGCCATTAAAACATCCAAACTCTAAGTTTCATATTCTTTTTACTTATACTTATTCTTTAATCGAACAGGGTCATTTGATAACAACTGTTAAGCAAGAAAGACGAAGTCGACCGATATCGTAATGAAAGTTTAGCTCGCAAGGCGACTTTACTTGTGCTTTACGGCGCGATGTAATCACCGGCACACACACACACACACACACACACACACACACACACACACACATGCGCACGCGCGTGCGCGTATTAAAAGTAGCCCTTATCTCGATCGACAGTTCATACTTACGTTTTCTTGCCGGTGCAATTAACGGCGTACGTTCGTCACGCTCTCGATACATATCGAATTCACCGGCCGACTGACTGACTTCGTCGATCGGAAATTGCCGCGTTAAGAACAATGCCGCGCGCTCGAGTTTTCGTTTTTGCTGCGCGAGAGCAACGAACACGCCGATAGATAAACGCCGAAGAACGTATTGATCAACGAGGATTCAGCTCGTCGCTTCGAGACGAGAGCGAAATGGTGTGCGAGAGAGAGCACCAAATATAAATAATCGGAGTCGAGATGAGAGTTCGTGTTTTCGTATCGGGAACTTGTTGCGGAGATCTTCTATAAGCGCATAATATTCCTACAATATTATATATTGAATATTATTCAATATTAAATTTTATATAAATTTTAATATTATTCAGTATTAAAATAATATTGTTATAATATTCTAAGAATGTTATGTAATGTCTTTTAATATTATAGGAATATTAATATTATAGGAATGTAATGTTTTTTAATATTATAGGAATGTTCTATTGATGTTACATGTCCGCTTCACGTGATATTCATGGCATATTATAAAAATATTCTAAGAATATTTGAAAAAATATATAAAATGATGGCATATTATAAAAATATTCTTAGAATATTTGAAAAAATATATAAAATAATAATAAACTCAAAAACTCCTTAATATTAAGGGATAAAAAAGGAGACTAAAGAGAACCAAACCCCATGAATTGTCACGATAACCCAAGATTAATCTCAACTGGGAGGTGCACTGGCAAATCCTAGATCTTTGTAACTCAAAGTATGTGTTTAAATAAAATTGCTGGTTAATCGGAAACGACTAGTTGCAATTAACAGTATATAAACAAAAAATGTATATATTTATATATATTTATTAACACCAATTATTTTATTGTATAAATACGTTTCATACTAAAAAAATTATACATATATTTATACATGTATAATTTGTTTAATATGAAATGTATTTTCACATAAAATTCTTTCGACTTGATTTATATAATAAAACAATTGGTATTGCAATACACATTTGGAAAAAAAAAAATTACAGTAACATGTAAGCTACAACTACATAAAAACTATAACTACAATTACATACCTCCGGAAGCAACGCAAGTGGATTGTACAATTACATATATTATATATACGCATAGAGTTGAATATTAAAAAAATATATAATATTACAATAACGTTAAGTAATTTAATTATTTTTTAAATATTATCAGTAGTGGGCATATAATTATCTATTAATATACCAGAAATATTACTTAATATTAAATAATGTTACCAAAACATTATTAGAATGTTACATTATTTAATATATATTATTATATTCACGCTATTATATGTTATGTTATTTAATATATATATTATTATTATTTTATTCTAATATTTTATAAGAATATCCCCGGAATATTACTTTATTTATGTTAGATTATACGGAATATTACGTGCTTATAAGGCCGTGTTATCTCACGCGCTCTCACGCTATCACCGTGTCTCGCAGGGCTTGACTTATGTTTTCGGCATCATGGGCCATCCGGTGATCGAGCTGGCCGTGTGTATGCAGGCCGCCGGCCTCCAGTACCTGGGCTTCCGGAACGAGCAGGCCGCGTGTTACGCCGCACAGGCCTATGGATATCTGACGCGTGAGTGCTGCAGATTTCTGTTTACCTGGCCGGAATGGAACGCACACGGTGGAGTGTTTGACTTGTCGAAACGTTGACCGAAAGTCGATTTTCTCCGAATCATCTCTGCTCTGTACACGGAAAAAAAAGAATATTTTTATTTCGAGAAGATCCGTGTTTTCTATATCATCTATATCATCTATATATTTATATATCATCTATATCAACATATTATGTTGAAATAAGATTATACCGCGTTGGATAGATAAAATTTGCTCACACGGCAGAAATTCCATATGTATATTGTATATAAATATATAATATATAGTATATAATTCCATATATTATTAATATATAAATCCATATAGTCCTATTGAAAATACAATATTCACGTTATTCGAGAATAATTTTCTTGAATTGAGAATAAAGAACGATATCTTCGAGCCAAGAATTGGAATTTCTTTAACTTGAAATTACATTATTTTTATTTGAATATGCCTTATTCTTGGAGAGAAAGTAGTTTATAATATTAAATTGGATTATTGGGAGTTTTTATAATAATAATTTCTTTGTTTTATTTCAAAATTGAGGTAATGAGAGGACGAAAAAGAGTATATCGAAGCAGACACCTGGGTAGCTTAGTGATAAGAGAGCACACGGAAAAAAATATCCCTATTTCGAGAAGATCCGTATTCTCAACGTGTACGTGTTGAAATAAAATGATATACCGTTAGGTAGATAAATTCTTGCTTACACGAAGAAATTCCATATAGTTCCACTAAAAATATGATATTCTAGTTAAACCATGTTGTTCAATAGGAAGAACAGTATTATTTGAAGAAATTAATATTTTGTTTTCAGTAAGAAGGAATTTGTTTTATTATATATTAAATATCGTTCCACCGATGGAAAAAGTTCTTTAATATTTCTCCAACTTATTTTTCTAAGATTTTTTAAATAGAAAGATAACAGAAATCAATCTTGGCCTATTTCTTCATATAATCTTCTGCTGTGCGGTATGTTGACTTGTTTACATAAGAGCTCACAAAGCGCTTGCTTGTAATCTGCGGACGGATGTTTGCTGTTTCGTCCAGTAAAAATATCTTCTTTTTGCGATGATTCTCACTATTGTCACTAATTTAAATATAATCGCTGCTTAATGACTCGGAGACGATTTTCAACGAGCATCAAGACTCCCGGATACTCACTTCGGTTGTCCTGACGGAAATATTATGCTGAAAACTCTATCGAAATTCTCTCTCAATTGATTATCGTTTCATTGTCATTCCGTGAATGTACGCATGTTTATCATTAAATTCTATATAAATAATACATGTACAATATATTTTATCACAATTCATGCGCACCTAATATTTATATTTATTTTTATACATCAAATTGCAACTAGGTACTTTAACGTATAAACGCAGGAAATATAATAAATATCTTAACAAAAAGCTACAAAAGACGCGAGCAATAAAAGATGGTGTATAAGATTAGGCGAGAAATTATAAGAATAAAAATGACGAAACAGCTGGAAATAGAAGTACACTAAAGAATATTAATGTAAAATAGGAAATTGTGCAGCAATTGAAAATGCGAAAGGAGAAAGACAATAAGAGAGAGAGAGAGAGAGAGAGAGATGAAACGTGCGATTTTCTTGTTATTAGAAAAACCGGCGGTGGTGTTGTGCGTCTCCGGTCCAGGTTTGCTGCACGTAATCGGCGGTATGGCGAATGCGCAGGTGAACTGTTGGTGAGCATTGTGTGACGAAAGATAAATTCTACCGGGTGCGATTCACTAGAAAGTCTCTTTCGGCGGGGTCGAAGTTGTCATCCGTCGTCCGTTTTTTTGAAAAAGATAATTTTGTTCTTTTTTTTTCTTCAAATATCACATCTTTTTTTGATGAAAATCAGAATAATTGCATTATACTCTTTCTTTTTGCTTATGATTCTATGATGTCGCTTTATAATATCGTTATGTAACTGATCATCTTATAATTGGTAATTTAAATCATTTGTATCTCCCTTTTCTAAATGGATTTTACCCTACAGATAAATAAATAAATAAATAAACAATCAAACACGAAGGCAGACAAGCCTCATTCGAAACTTTCGTTCTGATGTGGAAAATATTCCGACAGGCCTGTACTCGTCCTGGGTGGATCTTGTCCGGAGGATCACGAAGGGATTGGCGGATTCCAGGAGTGGCCGCAGGTCGAAGCGTGTCGTGCTTGCTGCAAGTATGCCGCCAGGCCGCCCTCGGCCACCCTCATACCGACGCACGTTGAGAAGGCAGTGCGATTAGCTACTTACGGTAGACCAGGTAGAGAGAAATTCCTCTTCGTTTTCTTCGTTTTCTCGGATATCTGATCCGCTGTCGCTAAACTTCATTCTCCCTATCTCTCGCTTTTTCCGACATAACAAATACATTTTTTCAGAAGAACCATAAATTCTTCTCCTTTATCTTTTCTCTTCATTTTTAACTAACACTCTCTTTCTCGATGGGATGCTCTTATCGTTCTCCGTCAAACGAGACCCCGTAAAGATTGCGAACGCAGCATTTCATGCAAAGTTAGGAAACAACGCGTTAAGGGAAGCAACGTTGCAAGGTATCTTTCTTTAATGGATTTCGCAACGGAGATATTTTTAATGGATTTTGCAACGGAGATATTTTTCTTTGTTAATAACAATAATAATAAAAGTAAACGTACAATAACAATAATAACTAAAGTAAACGTACTAAAGTACTTTCATCGTTATATGTATTTATATATGTTAAATAATCTATATAAGCGGTAGTGAATCATAAAAGAAAAGAGTTCTTGATTTAAGAACTTGGAAAAGAACATAGAAAAGCAACGGAAATGAGAAATGCTGAGGAATTAACGACTCGTTACTTTTCTTTCTCAAAACGAGTAACGGTAACATGAATGATTTTTCAATAATGACTTCCTAATTCTAGTAAACTTAATAAAATAACAAAAGTAACAAAAATTAAATATGTATGTATAAAAATGTGGGAAACTTACAAAGCTTCGTACTAACTAATCCCGCCATTGAAGCCACAGATGGCGCCGGCGCCGTTAATGCGTCCGGAAAAAATTCAGTCCCGGAACTTTTTAGATGTACTGCGTACAATAACTGAAAAAAAAATCCCTCTTTTAACGATTAGAAGAAATCTTTTTAATTTCACGATGAAAAATGACTTTTATGACTCTGATCTCACCGTTGTGTTCTAAATTACTCGCAGGTGCCGCGTATCTCGACTTAACCGCCACGTTATTAACGCAAAACGTCGAGGAGAATAAAATAGTGAGAGTTGCGCCTTGTCCACCGCCGCCGATGTCGTATCCTGACATGAGACTGATTGAACGGGCGGCCGATATATTTACAGCGGCCAAGAGACCACTTGTAATAGTCGGCAAAGGTAAGCTTAAGGTCAGAATGAAAATACCGGTTCGATCCCGGTTCCGGTCTACTAGAATATCTCATAAAGATTCCAGTTCCGGTTTTCTGGACAATGAAAGAACCGATAAACCGTTTACATTACGGTTCTTTTTCGATTCCGGTTCTTTAAACCTGTTTCCTTACTGAAATTTTTATTGACTTAAGTTACATATATACAGGATGCCCCAAACTAATCTCGGTTCCCGTGATGTGCTAGTAGAAACGGGTGAAATTGAGCGGAAAAGTCCTATATTATTTTGCAAAACAAGCAGAATTTCGAGTTATTAATTAAAGAAGCCTGTATAAATGACCATGTTCAGTCATTGATAACGCGAAATTTGGCGTGTTATTTGCAAAGTGGTATAAGACTTTTCTGCTTAGTTTCACTCAGTTATGAGTTACACCGACGGAATTGTTTTTTTTTTCTTACGCAGGAGCCGCCTACGGTCGAGCCGAGGATGCGGTGCGAGAGCTCGTTCGCTCGACCGACGCGCCTTTTCTGCCGACACCCATGGGGAAGGGAGTCGTGCCGGACACGGACGAGCATTGCGTCTCCAGCGCGCGGACCTTCGCTCTGCAGCAGTCCGACGTGGTGTTGTTGTTGGGCGCGAGGCTGAACTGGATGCTCCACTTCGGCCGGCCGCCCAGGTTCCAGAAAACCGTCAAGGTCATACAGGTAGATGTCGAGCTCGCGACTCGCAGAGAACTCCCGGAATAGAGCTGGGCGAAATAGCATCGATACAGTATCGATACATTTTTTTTCAGCGTAACTAATCAAATTACTTTAAAGGAAACAAATATTGGGTTGTTTTTGGCTGTTTGCTTTAAAGAAAAGTTTATTTTTTAAAAGTTTATTTTTTATAATCAATTTCTTTTTATCTTCAATAAACATTTTTTTTTTATTAAAAAAATGTAATATTGGGTTTTAAAAAATTATGAATTTTATTCCATTTAACTCACCATTTACTTAATATTACAAAATATTTTTTTAGAAGATGCAAAGATTTGTTTTGATGCAAAAAATGCATTTCAAAAAAATATATTTCTTTGATATGAAAAAATTGTTTTCTCAGTGTATAGTATATCCATATATGAAAACAAACAAATGATTTCTCTAGAAGATGAAAATCCTTTTAAATGTAAAAACTATATTCAGAAAAAAATATTTGTTTTAGAAGCAAAATACAAATAAGTCATTTTGTAAATATAAATCGTTTTTTTTAATGGTAAAAGAAACTTTTTATTTCAAACAAAAAAAAATTCTTTATAAACACCAGAAAATAATTTATTTAAATTTACCAAATAGTTCGTTTCTATTTGCTTACTTTGAAATAAAGCAAGTATTGATTTAAATACGATTTTTACATACGGAGCACGCCGACGATGAAATTCGTTTGGATGCAAAAAATTATTTTTATTCATATTATTTTTCTAAATTTGACGAAATCTTTTTTTCAATGCGGTCTCTACTCTTCCCGACACACGGAAGATTCAGCTGCACTAATACAATTGTTTTTCCCGCATATCAAGTATTTATTGAAAAGAAAAGTTACTTATAACTGACAACAGCGTTATAAACAACGCGTTACATTTACAAGTGCCGCGTTATTAATGCAAGAATAATCCGAACAGATCGACCTGTGCGCCGAAGAACTGCACAATTCCGTGTCTTCCGCCGTTGCCGTGCAATCCGACATTCTGCCGGCGGCTGAACTTTTGACGAGCGCGCTGAAAAGTCGACGCTGGCGCGTCGACCTACACGGCGCGTGGTGGAGCGAGCTCACGGCGAAAGCCAAGAAGAATAAAGAGTTCCTCCATGTGTGTATTGTTTTATAAATATTTTTTTATTCATACAGGGTGTCCCAAATTAATCTCGGCTCCCGTAGTGTGTAAGTAGAACGGGTGAAACTGAGCAGAAAAGTATTCTATACCATTGCGCAAATAACACGTAAAATTTCGAGTTATCGATGATTATAAATAGTCACTTATAAAGGCTTCTTTAATTAAAAACTCAACAACTTGCATTATAACAGTTTAAAAATACTTGTAAAATATTATGTCAGTGTTTATAAAATCCACGTGAAATCGTTGTTTCAAAAGATCGATTTAATGTTTCTCGCACCTGCAGCCGGGGATCGTTTCGCAATTAATTTTACGTATTTTCTTCTTTGTTCCTCTGTAGCGAATGTCATCGGACACTAGCGTGCCTCTGAATTATTACACGGTCTTCAAGCACATCCAAGATGTCATACCGAAAAGTGAGCGTCTTTTTCATCGTTGCAAAGCGAACGAAGAACACGAAAGCGCGTTTTCGGCATATTTTCCATCGTGGAAATGTCGCGTAATGTAATATCTTTCTCCATATGCTCTATTAAAAAAAAGAATACTATAAAAAAGTAATATAAGAAAAATACTATAAAAAATATAAAAAAATATAAAGGCATAAGAAATAAAAAAGATATAAAAGTATTATAAAACAGTACTATAATAATATAGTTTTTTATATATAATAAAAATACAATATTTGCCTTTTTTCATGTGTATACAGGATGTTCCGGACTTTTAATTTTACCGAGTTGTCTGAGCAATTCAGAGTTAATTTTTCTTCAGCGAAAATTGCCGAGGCATCCGTAGTTTCCGAGATACGAAGCGACCGAAAAATCGGGGCTCTTTGCAAACCAAACGGTCGAACGACTGAATGGATAAGAAAATAATTTTTTCCTGATCGACTTCAAGTGGACACCAGCTTAACAAAAGTCCCCGTGAATAATAACCTTCCATGACATTTTCGATGAGGAAAATTCCCAAATTGTTCGTAAATTGTCCCCACCGAGAAATTCTTTATATAAAATTAAGATCACGAGAAACGTCCTGTATAGACCGACGATATGAATATAGATATGAGATGCATTAAAAAATTACTCGTGTTAACGTTAATAGATATGGGATCTTCGTAATTACACATTCTCTTTTTCATGTCATTCTCCAATGATTCCCTCTCGTTTGATTTTGCAGATTGTATCATTTGTTCCGAGGGAGCCAATACAATGGACATTGGTCGGACTGTCCTCTTGAATGACCTGCCCCGTCACAGATTGGACGCCGGTACGTTCGGTACGATGGGCGTGGGACTCGGATTCGCGATCGCGGCCGCTCTTTACTGCAAGGAGAGAGAGCCGAAGAAGAGGGTGATTTGCGTCGAAGGTGACAGCGCCTTCGGATTCTCCGGGATGGAGATCGAAACGATGTTTCGGTAACATGTGGCCTCTGTTCTTGAACGATCAAGGGAGGAAGTGTTTGCGTTTCGCACATAGCGGAACGTCACGTTCCTATAAGCACGTGGTATTATTTAACATTAAGGCTCCTGGATAGTCAAGAATTGATGGCAAGAATTCTTGGGTTTTATGTTCAAATAAAACGATGCGCCCACAAAATGACGTTTGTGGTGGATTCGGTACACTTTTCTTTCATTCGGACAAGCAATAAATAGTCGTAAAGTTAACGTTGGCAAAATCATGAGAAAAGTGGTTAAAATGAATGGTTCCGTGTCAAATTAATTTTAATAGAACATTCCTATAATTAAAATTAAAAAGTATTACATAACATTCTTAGAATATTATAGGAATATTATTGTAATATTGAATAATATTCATATAACATTCTAGGAATATTACGTGCTTTTATAAGGTGTATATAATCACTTTCCTATCTCCGCAGGTACAAATTGCCGGTGATCATTATAATTGTAAATAATAACGGTATATACGGCGGCCTTGATAAAGAGACTTTCCGACAGATGCAATCATCCGGAGATCCCACGCAGGTGTACGTATCTTTGCAATTTTAATATTTAATATTATTGAATTTCTCTCTCTCTCTTTCTCTCTCTTAGCATTTTTTTTTCTATATCAGCGCACTCGCGCTTGCTTGTGTTTGATATTACCTTACACGTAGTGTTTGCCGGTATCTAGATAAAATTATTAAAAAAATTATCTAAATGAGTAGATTACTTTTATCATTATCTAAATTGAAGAAATACAAAATATATTCATCTTCATCTTAGGTGAAAAATATGTTATCTCATCTAAAAATTATTTGAAATGATGTTACGGTCCATATTCTGAACTCATTTTTCGATCAAATGAATGGAATAATATGGATCTACGCGTTAAGCCCGTATCAGACTAGGGATTAGAGATTAAATTTCAACGAATCTACAAATTTCGGTTTTGTTTCCTTTGATCTGTTCTTTTTAACTATACTGTTGAACTTATTGCGCAAGTTCGGCGGTGCAACTAAAACGAACAGACCATTGTTTCAATTGATCAATCCACTTTAAGTCCATATCAAACTGTCGACTGTGAGTGGGCAGTCAGTAATTATCGGTCTTTTTTGTTAGATCCTTAAATTTAGAGCGATTACGTTGACACTGTTTACGTGTCCAGTTATGTAAAATGTAATTGAATTAAAGGTGAAAATTGTCTTTTCAGGACTCCCCCGTATTCCTTGACGTGCGAGACTCGTTACGAAAAGATGATGGAGATGTTCGACAAGAAGGGATATTTCTGCACTACAGTGCAGGCCATTCAACAGGCGTTGAAACATTCCCTCGAGGTGAGGACTATTTTTTATTAAATTCGAATTTGCTTGTGGAATATATCAAAGAGAATGAATGACTTCAAGAAAATATCTTTATTATTTTCAGGTGACCGACAGTCCTAGTTTGATCAATATTATGATCAGCCCACAGGCGGATCGCAAGGAGCAAAAATTCAGCTGGCTGACGGAATCGAAGTTATAAGCGTACGTGGCATCGTTTGCGATAAACTGTAAGATTATAACATTAATCACAACTACCGTCACAGCTACTACAACTGTCTTCATATTTTAATACTTTAATATTTTTTAGACTGGCAATCAATATTTTACTAAATATGTGAAATAATGGCAACTGTGGGGATAAGGATTCTTCTTCTGCAAGATGTACATATTGGTTTTGGGAATTTCATAATTATTTTATGTACAGGTTTCGGAAAATATATAAAAGGGATATTTTATGTTACATATCTCGAGTATCCATTTGATTCAATCTCTCTGTAATGTCCAACGATGTGACGTCCAGCAGATCCTGTTGCAATTTGCCTGCACTTTCCATTATGTTTACATCTTCCACATTCACTCCCATTTCCTGCGCCTTCTTGGACAATGTTAAGTTAGCTGTCTTAACCGCCGTAAGTAAATGCCCGTTTTTGCTCACAAGTTCCTCGATCAATTCCAGCTCCTTCTTTCTGCAGATAATTTACAGTCTCTTACTGAAATGATTAATCTACAAGTTGCTTCCAATTCAATTGTTAATATTAATTATTCATTGTTAGCAAAAGGAAACTAGGGAGGACTAGGGATTAATTTAAGAATTAGAATGTAAAACCATATAAAAACAAAAAAGAAACTTGCATCTTCACAGTAACATCATTGATGGCGAGTAATGTATTCTGAATGTTTATCCCGATCTCATTGTCTGTGCTCTTCTGGGATGCCATTGTTAAGGAAGTTCAGGTGGGACGTTTGAATGTCTGTAATTGGAATTATTAATTGTCAGTTGATTAACTATCGGCAAATGTCATCGTAGAAATCATGTTTGACACACATTCTGTAAAACTGACCTTCGACCGACGTCGTGGAATCATAACTAACAGAAATCAGGTGGAATAAAATAAAATTGACATCAAGGCGGGAGAAACAAATCTCTCTCTCTCTCTCTCTCTCAATATATAGCAACAAGCACTCAGAAGAATGTATACGCCCTAACCTTACTAACGATGTTTAGTTTATGAAAAAATAAATTCACATGCGTTCCATCGAAGTGGAACGAGCAAAAAAAATATGCGGTTCAACGACGAACAAAAAGAGTTCGCGAATAAGCGCGCAAAACATACCCAAACTGCTCGGCAATTCCCGCGGGACTGACAAACCGTAATTTTTAAAGCTCGTACCAGACTATGGACTGAAAATTGAGATTGAATGGAAATTTGACCAATCAGTGTAGGATTCACTAAATTTCACCAAACCTGAAATCAGTTAACTTTACACTGATTGGCTAAATTCAATTCAAACTCAATCCCCAATTCGTAGTCTGATACGGGCTTAAAGGGTAATCCACAATAGGCGGTAGGAATATGTTCGTAAGAAGTAGGAGCAGAAAATTAACCAATCATATTCGAATGTGAGGAGAATAATCGACTATGATTGGCTAACTTCTTATTCATAAACATACTCCTACTGCCCATTGTAGACTTGTTTAAAATGCACAGTTCGAAGTATTGGTCTGTTCTTTTTATGTAAAACAGCTGTATTAGTTTAGAGGAAGAAATTTAAAGCCAGTATTCATAGATCAGATCTCATATTTAAGAGCGTCTTAAGTTTATCTTCAGATATTTCGTAGCCGATGAAATGAGCCTTAGAGTATCTGAATACAAACTTAAGACGACAGACATAAAACCTTGAATATAAGACGAATACCTGTCTAAAACATAGTCTACAATGAGAATTCGACCCAGTATATAAATACACCCAGTATATAAATTATGCAAGGCCACGTTGAATAGTTCAACAGTGCAGCTAAAAGGAACAGGCCGACGTATGCACGAGGGCCGTTCGATAAGTATGGTAAATATCCGACACGCGGCACCACGATTCACTTTATATGGCGCGAAAGTAGTTCGCTCTTCCGACTCTACGTCGTACACCCGGTTTCAAAGTCGCCGGGCACAGTTTGGTCGAGCGGTTTTTCGCGCGAGGTCGTCGCGCGAGACGACAACAACAATGGAGAAGAACGAGTTCCGTGCGGTGATAAAGCACTTCTATTTGAGAAAGTGGACGGCCGCCGGGATCAAAGCCGAGCTGGACGACGTGCACGGTGAGTCCGCGCCGGCGTTGAAGACGATCTACTTCTGGATGAACGAATTCAAGCGCGGCCGGACGTCGACGAAGGACGAGTCGCGCTCCGGACGTCCGGCCGAGGTCACCACGCCGGAGATGACGAAGAAGATCCACGGTATGGTCGTGGGGAACGGTCGGGTGAGGGTTCGCGAGATAGCCGAGCTCGTGGGCGTCTCGTTGGATCGAGTGTACAATATCCTGCGTGAAATCTTGCAGATGAGGAAGCTCTGCGGACGATGGGTGCCGCGATCGCTGACCGGCGAGCAGAAGCGCGCGCGAGCCGACATTTCGCGGCGGTGTCTGGCGAGGCTCGGCCGAGACTGCCCGGCGGATTTCTGGCGTCGATTGGTGGCCGTGGACGAAACGCGGATCCTGTACACGCCCGAGTCGAAGGAGCTGAGCGGACCCGCGCCGAAGAAGGCGAAGACCGTCTCGTCGGCCGGCAATGTCACGGCTACGGTATTTTGGGATTCCCAAGGCGTCATCTTCATCGATTACTTGGAAAAAAGTCGGACGGTTACGGGAACGTATTACGCGACCCTCCTCGACCGTTTCGACGAGGAGCTGCGGACGAAACGACCGAGGTCGTCGCGGAAAGGGACGATTCTTCAACAGGACGACGCGCCAGCTCGCACGTCGGCCGTCGCAACGGCGAAACTTCGGGAATTGCGCTACGAATTGCTGCCCCTTCCGTTCTATTCTCCGGATCTGGCCCCCTGCGACTTCTTCCTGTTCCCCGGGCTCAAAACCCGGCTCGGGGGGGAGAGGTTCGCGTCCGACGAGGAGGTGATCACCACCGTGAACGAATATTTCGAAGGCTACGACGCTGCGTACTACTCCGAGGGGATCAAAAGGCTGGAACAACGCTGGGCGAAATGCGTCGAACTCGAGGGAGACTACGTTGAAAAATGAACGGACATCGCGGTCTCGAAGAAGGCTGATTTTCCTCCCTTTTTTTTGATCGTACTTATCGAACCACCCTCGTATGTATATATTTATTTTTTTCCCGTATAATTAAGCCTTTAATCGTATGTTAAATTTAAGGGAGAAATCACTAACATAACGTTATTACAATGGTGTTTTGTAATATGTTACGTTTTCAAATATGTATCTCTTCATGTCGCGTACAACGCCATTGTTATCGATATTTGATCGAAATGTGAAAAATCATGTTTTTACTCTGTGATTTTAATATTTAAATACATAACATTGTGTCGAGTAACAGTTTAAAAACTGGGCAAAATGTTATGTCAGAATGTTTGTAAAATTAACGTTTCAAAAAAAGGATCAATTCAACGTTTTTGCTTACCGAGTAGGATGTCTTTTGAACATTTGTGCTGCCTAAGTATATTTATAAGTAATTTATATTATTTATAGTAATTTATGTATATATATTAAAATATATTTACAAGCAGTTCGGTTCGCAAATTTTTCTGTAATTCATCGTCCGGTAATTTAAAAAATACCATCGTTATTTTATTGAAAAAGCCCCATACATCGTAATTACAAGAAAGCATATATTATAAAGAATGTTGTAAAGGTAATTCTTAAAACTAATCACAATCTATTCCCTTTTAGAACTAGAATATCCAAGTTTCTTAGAGCGCGATCGTATCATGTAGGACATCATTGTGTACAATCCGGGTATGAAAAGTAAGAGTAGATAAATTCTCAGAAAAGACGGGAAGTGGAAGGTGAAATTGTAAATGTTCGGTAACGAAACGGTGAACCTCTGGGTTTCCTCGAAGTACGGGATATTCCGTAATATCACGATACCCTCGCAAAAGAAGCCCGTCGGGTAAAGCGGAATCCATATCGTGTATCTCAGCCAAGTTAAGAAGGATATTTTAATATTCAATAATTGCGTAATGTAATAAGGATATCTGACCACCTCTATCGTGCTCCACAAGAGGAACAGATAGAAAACTATGTTCTTGGTCTGCATACGAGGCTCGGCATCGATCATACAAAACAATACAAACGCTCTACCTCCGACCTGCAGGAAAGACACGAGTAAACTGTTCTTCGTGTATCCGAACAAAGGATGCATCACCTCTAAAAACTGTAAAAGCTGTATAAACTTGAACGGATTGCCAACCGCCGCGTACGTATCTTTAATGGAATCTGGAAAAGAAAATATATATTTCGTGTACTCAAAGATTCGTCGGGAGGAAACGGAGATTTCTAAACACTAAATTATAATATTTATTTTATATATTGTTTAATATTAATAATTATATTATTTAATATATCATATAATATATTATATATATTATTTAATATATATTTTAGTATAAAATGTCTAAGCTATATAAAACTTTAAAGAAAAATTTGGCTTTTGTTTCTTCCAACGTTTCGTACGAACATTTTCATTCATTTCTCTGGGGAAAATTACCTGAAGGTGTCATTTCTCCACGGAAATCCTCTTTAATATATAAGTATAAATATCGAGGGCGATTAGTTGGAAAAAAAGAAATTCAAATGGATAAAAATCAAATAGATAAAAATAGTTTGTGTAACAAATATGACACGGTATCGATCGTGCCGAAATTGCGAGGAGACGAATCATCGGGGGGAATTCGGCTGATATTTTTTACAGATATTCCAGAAAAATATGTATCATTTAATATATATAAATATACCTGGCCCGTCTCGTGAATATCGTATACCCATTACAGCTAGCACGTAAATAAATCCAACGAATTGAAAGAGATTGTATATGATTAGGTATGCTTTTGCATATTCCTCTGGAAAAAAAAAAGAAATGAAAACACGTTGTCAACATCACGATATCATCTCGTATCGTAACACACACACATACGTGACACACCTTTTGTATACCCGAATTCTTCCTTGAGCAACTTTTCAAACGTGTCCGGATAGTCGTAACGAATATCACGCTTTTCGTCCTCATTGTCATCCATGTCTTCGCTCTTCCACTTGTCAAAGTCAATTTTCAGCCATGAGGGCTTTTGCGGATAACTTATTAATCTTGGCCACCAACCGTTGAACTTCTTTTTCAGGATGAAGTCCACTTGACGATCGATCACTTTGTAATTAATTTCCTGCAATAAATGACACATGTAAAACTTAATTATATATATGAACCAAGTGTCCCAAACTAATCTTGGTTCTCGTAGTGTACAAGTAGGACGGATGAAACGGCAGAAAAGTCTATCATTTTGCAAATAACACGTAAAACTTCGAATTATCTATGATTGAAACTGGTCACTTATAGAGGCTTCTTTAATAAATAACTAAAACATTTAAGTGTTATTCGCAAAATGGTAAAGAACTTTTTTGTTCAGAGTCGCCTAACTTACAAATATATGACGATTGTTGTACCTAACGACAGACATCGATATATTGAACTTTGACCCTTGGGTCTCGAACTTATTGTTAAGTATAACAATTGTCATATACTTGTCGATTAGACGATTTGGAATCAAAAAGTCTGTCACCATTTTGCAAATAACACGCAAAATTTTGAGTTACTAATTAAAGCTTTTATACACGGCATTTTCAATCATTGATAACTTGAGATTTTGCGTGTTATTTGCAAAATAGTATGGGACTTTTCTGCTCCCATTCTACTTGCACACCACGGGAACCGAGATTAGTTTGGGACACCCCTGTACATATACATATATAATTAATTTAGATCACAATATCGTTGTATACATTTGGGTCAATAGGTGAATGAAGATTCAGACTGAAGCTATAATTGTTCCAACCTCTCGCTCCTTGACCATAGGCTGTAACTTCCAGTAAATTGTTCTCCGCATCGACATTAATATCCTGCGAAATATTCTCGAAATCACAATATTACAGATGACACAAATCATTATTCTATTAAAATTTTGGGTAATTATTTAGTTAGATTGGTAAGTTTAATTTAGCTACATCGGCAAAAATATCGATCACAGAATGTTCATCGCTGCATTTCACCGATATGACAGTTTTCCTAACCTGTCAAGCTGTCAACTTTAACGATTAATATCTCGCTTCACGGGGCAGTGTGATGCTTTTTTCTGCCGGATTTGTGCAAAAACGCGTCAAATAAGCGTAATTTTATCGATATTTGTGCTGATGTAGCTGAACTAAATAATTACCAAATTTTATATTTGTAAGATTAAAAAAAATTCCTAGATCGGGTATGTGTGCACAAATCGTACCTTAACATCGGTCAGGTCTACTTTTAACGTGATCTGACTCTCTGTCTGAGCCCAATATACAAACGGTGTAAAAGTATTAGACATTTTGAAGCGGCACGCGACGATAATGAAGATTATTGGTTGCTATTCGTGCAGTGTTTCTCTCAGCGCATTCTAAAAACTTTTATCGATTATGATTATATATATATTTCACTAATCATAATATTGTTATTACGTTATCAAGCCAAATAAAATATAACGAATCATTCTCTGTACTCACATTCATGAAGATTGATATATCCGTGGTGAAAGGATATTATAAAATAACGTGATTGAGCAAAATCTCAAAGTCGTTCTCACACCCCACTTCGCACCGCTCTTGTTTCACTCACCGAGTAATTCGTTCAATCGGATAATCTAAGTCTCGGCTCTCTCGTCCTGATTGGCCCGAGTGTCAAGTCCTATTTACAATCTTCCGTCCCCGAGATTCGGAAGCCCGGTCTACAATAGGTGTTTTAAGCCTTAAGACCAATTGACCAATCACAGTCGATTATTCTCCTCACTTTGATTCTAATTTCAATCTAATTTCAATCCTAATCCATAGTGTGACACGGGCCTAAAGCCCGTGTAAAGTTAACTGAACTCAGGTAATGGAATTTCATGAATACTAGCCAAATTTCAATTTAATCTCAATCTTTAATCCGTAGTCTGACACGAGCTTAAAACCCGTATAAAGCCTTCTACATAAAACCTATGTAAAAGTATACAATTTGTAAATATATATAATATACAATGTTAATATGCAATTTTTCTTTTAAAACAAAAATTAGCATAGTACTCATAATACGACTATTTGTATTACTATTCTGTTAAATTGGTACGACATATATACTGCTATTTCTCCATGTTGGTACTACACTTCCTTCCCCGATGTTTGACAACACTGCATCGTTGACAGCTTTTTGCTGTGTCAAACCGCGGAGGGACGCCGGTTGGAATGTCGGTGATCGCATATGGGTGATCGCATTCATCGTGTACCAATGGGATTCCATGGGATCTTCTCTTCGCCAATTCGGACCTGCGAACGCGCATTCTGAGCCGTGAATGCCGGCGGTTGCGTTTGCATCGGTGCACATCAACGGCGACGGCTCGCCCAGACTACCTCCGTAAGTGGTTTTAGGTTAGGTTTTTAAGTTTTCCGTTATGAAACATTGCCGATTGACGGACGGATTGGGCGATAACGCTCTGCCACATTTTTTTCTATTTATATAAATTTCCCTCCAATCGAACAGCTGATATTTAAGATTTGAGTTGACAGACTTCGCGATCGGCGATGTTGCTTAACATGTTCGTTACGAGAAGAAAATCTTGCACCACAGCCCAGGGTGTTTTTTTGTTAGAATGTCCCTAATTGACATGGGTCTTTTTAGGATATATTTGTAACATAAAAATGTAATTATTTCTATTATCTACCAAGAACATCCTACATGTATTTTATCGTTTTTTAGCCCAACAATACTGTTCGTTTCCAAATTTATCGCGAACGTGTTAACAGATGTCACGATTTTCGAGGATGCATTTGCGAATTGAATAAAAATCAGCGGAAAGTAAAGACGTTAATCGATCTGTTCTCTTTACAGCTGTACCGCTTACATTTTTTCCTCAATCTTCCTCTTTTCCTCTTCTTCCGTACATTTGCTTTATTTTGAATCTGCAAAGTGTAGTGTTGCTAAAAAAAAAAAATACAGATCGATGGGTTCCGGTGAGAAGCCTTCGAGAAACCCGTTGATGAAAGTGTGAAATGAAAATGTGAAATGAAAAGCACCGCCATATTGTAAAAAATGTCACATCGATATCGCTTCGAAGTTCGTATTTTCGAGGAAAATTCCAAAGAATTCCACGAGAATTTTCATGATGAGAGAACGTGTGGTAAGAATTTTCAGCGAGAATCTTACTAGTGAAAATTAAGTTACAGTTTCAAGTTACAGACAGGCGAATACCGTCGTCGAGTTGAACTGAAATAAAAATCGCTGAGTAATCTACTTTCGAACATAACAATATAGTAAGCGAGAAACATTAAATCAATCTTTCTAAACATTGATTTTATGCGGATTTTATAAATATTTTGACGTAATATTTTATAAATGTTCTTGAACTACTTGATAATATAATATTGATAATATAAATATAATTGGTAATATAATATTGATAATATAAATATTAAAATCATTGTATATTATTTTTAACGTTTCGGTCAAATGTTGTTAACAATGATGTTGTATGCAACATTAAGAACTATGTATTTGAAAACATTATATGTTATCAAATATTATTATAACAACGTTGTGTTGATGATTTCTCGTTTATTGGGAAATATAATAGCGCCATTAACTCGCGCGATTTCAGGCATGAGCGCGCAAGTGTCCTTCGAATTATAGGACGGTAATTGGTCGACATGCTCGTTCATATATAATAATCTAAATTGAACGGTATGCGCCGTCCGCGTTACAACATGTTATATACATCGTACATAGAGACAACTTCAACAGCGCAAATTCTCGAAGCACACGAGAGGATATATCGCGAATAACGCTGCAATTAGATTAGATTAGATACTTTATAAGCGTGTAATATTATTTAATATTCCGAGCATATTCTTGGAATATCATACGTAATATTCTAATAATATTCTAGTAATATTATTTAATATTAAATAAAACTTCTGGAATATTAATAGATGGTTATATGTCTGCTTCTAGTAATATTTAAAGAATATTATTTAGCATTATTGTAATATATTTGTTAAATATTCAACTCTATACACGCATATATATATATATATATATATNTATATATATATATATATATATATATATATATATATATAATGTATATATATTAAATATATATATATTTTTTTTGTTTCCAATGTATTGCAACATCAATTGTTTTATTACATAAATAAAGTCGGAGTAATTTTGTGTAAAACTACGTTTTAACTAAAAAAAATTATATATATATATTTTTTTTTATTTATATATATTTTTCTACATTATTTTATTATTTTTTTAATATTCAAAGATTATTCTTATAAAAAAATATTACATAACATTTTTAGATTATTTTAATATTGAATAATATTTATATAATATTCTAAGAATATTAAGCGCTTATAGGGATATCGCTCAAGTATCGAGCTCATTCTTTCCCTCTCTTTTTTTTTATTCTCTCTCTCTCTCTCTCTCTCATTTTTCTGATCATTTTACTATGCGATCAACATACTAAGGTAGAGCAAATATAACAAGCGTTACAGTTTATGACGGTAAGCCAGAGATTATATTATAATCTGTGTGTATTTTTATTTTTTAAATATATAAGAAAATATGTCGCTTGAACATTTAGGTGATAGGATACAGACAGTAGGAAATCTGCGCGAAAAGCAAACAAGACAGTCGGAGAATATTGTGATGCATTTTCGTAGGACTACAAGCGCACAGAAAAGTCTATTTTATGAAGGTGTGAAAATGTACAACGTTTTTCTAATAGAAATAAAACAGTGAGAATGGAGAGCAGTTTAAGCGAAAATTAAAAGAGTATATTGTAACTATTGTTACTTAGTTATAAGGCAATTAATGTAAAACAAAATAGCTGAGAAAGCTAAATATCATTCATTCACTCTCTCTCTCTCTCTCTCTCTCTTTTTTCTTTCTCTCTCTCGCTCGTCCGAACGATTTTTATATTCTCTTTCCACTTCCAGGGAACAACATCGGCAGGGAAGTACTTTATTTCCGCAGAATCTGAAGAGTAAGGTCAGAGGTCAAAAGTCGCGCGCATCCGGAGGATCCTCTTTCCCGCGCGAGAGCGACTTTCGTAGGAGCCTTTCGGCCTTCCGATGAGGCCGAAAATAGGCGCAAAATTAATTCCACCATGAGAGATGTCGCGAGACTCGTGCAGGTGCGCGTCGTCTCCAGGAGCGACTCGTGACGACGCCGTCCGGCCTTTGACCGCAGTGAAATTCAATCCCGAGTACGTATCCACGCGCGCCAAATCCCTAACAAGTGCGTAATATTATTTCATTTCATTTAATATTAAGCCATATTTTGGGAATATTAATAGACGGCTATCTGTTCACTCCTAATAATATTTGAAAAGTAATACTATTTAATGTTATTGTATTATTATTGGGTATGGGAATAAGTTTCCGCCCATTTTGGAGAGGTATCGTTAGTAGCACTGCTTGTGTGTTTGATAAAACGGCAATACACGTATTTGAAAGGTATGTGTTCAAGCTTTTGAGACCAGCAGTTGGCATTCGTTCGAAGCGTAAACGAGAGTAATTGTTTTTGCGTTGAAAGTATCGGAATTTATTCGTAAAAAGCAACATTCGCGGCAAGTTTTACTCCGTTATTTCACTTCAAGGAAAAGCGCTGCGGAAACGCATCGTTTGCTCGTAGATATTTACAGTGAGCAGTGCTCCGTCGAATACTACTTGTGAAGAATGGTTTCGGCGATTCCACAATAGTGATTTCGACGTGCGTGACGAAGAACGCGAGGGTGCATCGAAAAAATTTGAAGATGCAGAATTGCAAGCGTTAGTCGAAGAAGATCCGTGTCGATCGCTCGATGAGTTGTCAAAGGAATTAAATGTTGGTAGATCCACTGTTGGAAAACGTCTGTACGCAATGGGAATGGTGCGAAAAGAAGGAGATCGGGCGGCGTACAAATCGAAAGAGAGAGACGTGGGAAGACGTTCGGTCGCGTGCGAGATGCTGCTTCAACGACAACAAAGGAAGGGTTTCCTGCGCCGTATCGTGACTGGCGAGGAAAAATGGATATACTACGATAACCCTAAACGAAAGCATGGGTGGTACCACGTGAAACAGGTTCATCAACCCCAAAACGGAATATTGCTCCTTCCGGACATTGTTCCTTCAGATTTCCTCCCTGGAGAGCGATTCAGTTCTTATGAAGGCATCAAAAAATGGCTTGATGAAATTAAACTGAAATATTTTATAATATAGTATTTTATTTATAGTATTTTATTATAATACGCCCAAGAATATTATGCGAATTGGATATATAACATCGATAGAACATTCCTGTGATATTAAGAAAAATATCATTCACATAACATTCTCCGAATATTACAAGAATATTATTTTGATACTGAATAATATTCATATAATATTTTGGGAGTCTTGCGCGTTTATAGGGCTTGTAAGGGGCCGCGTGAAATTCACACAGTCCGATTGCATAATCGCCGGCGATTGCAAGAAAACGAAGGCTGAGGCAGCCTTCGCGTGTTAGGCAATTGGCGCGATCCGCGCGCGTATCGTAACTTTTTTTTTTGATATTTGGAAAGTGTATCGCGCACGTGCGCGCGGCCTGACAATTGGCGCGCGGTTAACACGGCCGGCCTCGGAGCCTGTTTGTTTTATATGCCGTGCGAACGTTATGTTAGTTTTTCCTTCAGATCTCGGCGAGCGTTACCTTAAGTTATTCAGGCTTTCGATAACGTCGACGAGTTGACGATTTGAATATCGGATAGTAAATTCTCGCCGGGAGATTCACGCGGCCGAAGATGAGAGCCGAAAAATATATCTGGCACGTCGCTCGCACAATGGCGGGGAAAATTCCCACCCGGAGTTCAATCGAAGTCGGTGCTTTGAAGGATCGGCCGAGACAACCCTTGAAATCTTAACCATCGCGATCGTCGGTCACACATTATCATGGGTGCAACAATTGTCACGTATTTGCGGCTTACGCCGCTCTGAACAAGAAAGTTCTTTACCATTTTGCGGATGACACGCAAATTTTTGAATTATTAATTAAGGGTGCCTCTGGAAATTACTATTTCCAGTTATTGATAATTCGAAATCTCGCGTGTTATTTGCAAAACGATACAAGACTTTTCCGCTCTCATTTTCACCCGATCTACTCACGCACATTGCGGGAACCGAGATTAGTTTCGGACACCCTGTATAATTCGTTAACTTTCTTTCGGCTTTCGAGTGAGAAGTCAACCCCGTCCTGGCTTTAACATTAACACAATGCAATTGTAATTGTGCAAAAAAAGATCTTGAATTCCGCCGGTAAACGTGTATAGAAAGATATTAGGCGTTCCGGTTAGTTTTAAGGGCTTACTGTAGATGGCCATAGCTGCAAGTCTATTAAAGACATTTTGAAAGTTGGCGCGTCATTTCGAAGCTTGGACGTTTCTATGAATCACTTGACATCCCGTGTATTCCGTAAACATAACCATATTGTTTAATGCGATTGAAAGTGGGGACGTGATAAGGAGCATTTTCGTCATCTGTTACTTTACTGCTTTGATTCGAAGAAAACGGCTGCCGAAGCTCACCGATTCATCGCGGAAACTTATTCTGAGTCTGCTCCATCAGTTAAAACGTGTGAGTACTGGTATCGGCGATTTAAAAGTGATGATTTCGATTTGAAAGGTAAAGAATGTTCAGGTCAAACCGAGAAAGTTCGAAGACGCCGAATTGCAGGCATTGTTGGATGAAAACTCAGCTGAAACGCTTGAAGAATTAGCTAAAGTATTATATGTTGGTAAATCAATCGTTTCCGATCGTTTGCACGCATTGGGAAAGATTCAGAAAGAAGGCAAATGAGATTCCACGCGAGTTGTCCGAATTTGCTATTGAAAATCGTTTGACCATCCGCACCTCATTACTTTCTCGCCGCGGAAAAAGCAGTTCAAATCCGTAACTGGCGATGAAAAATGGACTACAATAATCCCAAGCGTAAAAAATCCTGGGTAAATCCAGGCTAAAATAAGGTTTTGTTGTGAATTTAGTGGGACACGAAAGGCGTTGTGTATTACGAGCTGAAACCGAATCAAGCAATCACTGCTGAGCGTTATCAACGACAATTAGTCGATTTGAATCATGCTTTGAACCAGAAACGTCCAATAACAGCTCGAAGAAAACTCAAAGAGATTTTGTTGCATGACGATGCTCGACCACACGTTGCAAAAACAGTTAAAGATATGTTATCGGTATTTTAATGAGAAGTTCACATGCCGCGTATTTTAATGAGAAGTACCACATGCCGCGTATTCACCAGACTGTGCTCCTTTAAATTGCATACTTGTTTTGACGACGATGCAGCACGACCTTGCCGACCAGCACTTCAATACATATGTTGAAATACAAAAATGGCTCGATGAATGGATCGCTTCGTAAGACGAACGTTTCTTTTACCGCGGAGTCCACGTATTGTCAGAAAAATGGGGCAAGGTTGTGACTAACGGTGAGAAATATTTTGAACAAACTATAATTTAACGTTTCTCCATATTTATTGAAATAAATAATATATTTATTTAAATAGATTATATTTATTCGTTTAAATAAATGAGCCGTTTATTTCGAAAGCGACCTAAGTTCATTTATATTTAAATTGAGATATTTCAGAGTTTGCGTTTCAATAAAATTAAAAATATACGCATAGGATACCAATGTGTCGCACTGCTTAAGTGTATCTAAGAGAGTTAACCCTTTGCACTCCGCTGTCGCCGTAGCGGCGACATGGTTGTTTTGCTGCCTCGGCACTTTAAGAAATTTTAAGTCCTAAAATTTATGTTTTTCTTTTATAATATAAGTTAGAATATGTTTTGTTATAAAATAGCTAAGAAATAAGAATTTTGTTTTATTGAAACGACTCTATTTTTCTTCTACATCATAGGTATGTACTTGGAACTAATAGCCTCTATGCATTACTAGGCTGGAGTGCAAAGGGTTAAATTTATATTACTCTGCATTCTCATCCATTAATATCTTATAGAAAAATTTATATGGTTCGTTTCTCAAAAAACGCATTCAGCATATTTTTAACCAATTTATTGTTTCTCCGTTAGAATTCTCTACCTTTTTAAAAACTGTGTCCTCCCAAAATCTCGTTGATATGAAATCCTCTTGTTTCACTTCATTTAGAATCAAGTTATTACCTTTCCGGCACTTTTTGACAACATTATAATAATTTTGGAGGGACAAACGGTAAATTATTTTTCTTTAATAACATTTCCACGACGCACTTTTGGACATTATCGATAATGGATTAGACTTAGGCTACTTTCCAAGTAATGTTCTTAATTATTGAAATAACTGCGAAAATTTATGTGTCAAAAATGATCGTATACTCTGAATATACTTAACCGCAAAATGTTGTTTATGACAGCTAACTTCAAGTTACTACAGTGAGCAAAAAAAAATTGACAAATGGACTTAGGCCACTTTCAAAATAAATGGCTCAAATAATATATTTATTTAATGAAATAAACGTGTTTTTTCCTAGCAAGAAGTCCCTCAAAACGAACGCCTGATATTAAGAAATTTTTCGGCGAAACAGAGCGATCCTGCAGGACCTGCTTAAAGGAAGGAGTCGACGTTCGCGGGTTGCTTCCTCCGATGTAATAACTGCTTCCGCGCGGTTTCATCATCGTTTCTCCTCTCCACCGCGCGCGATCCGACGATACAAGCGCGCGCGTGCGCGACACGTTTGCGATCGAGCGGGCGCCGATCTCGCCGCGCGCTTACAAGCGTGCGTGCGCGCGCACGCCTATCAGTCGCGGCCGTTAACGGGCGGCGCGCGCGCGCGACGCGCGCGCTACGTTAACGCGTGTGTTTTTTCCGCGATTTCCACATGTAAAAAGTGCGAAGGTTAACGGTGACTTTTACCCACGAGCGAGTTCGCAAGTTCGCCAGCGTTATCCCCGGCTATATAAGAGGCCGGACGAGCCGCGCGCGCTTTCAGTTTAGCCCGCTTTAGAATCCGGCGAGCCGGCGAGCGAGCGAGCGAGACCAAGCGAAATTTCACACTGTGTGTGTGTGTGTACGTGCGTGTGTAAACCACGGTAGAAGGGAGTTTCGTATCGGAATTTCGTAGTACGAAGTAGCACCGCAGTTTCGATGAATTAGAGTGAGTTAGTCCGCGCGGACGAACAAACTGCGCGCGCGTTCGGCGGAACCAGTTTCGCCGTCTCTCTTTCTCCCTCGCGCGAGAGCGCGGTGAAAGTATCGGGGCCCCGTTCCTTCTCTCTCTCTCTCTCTCTCCATCGTCGTCGACCGGTTATTGTCGCAGTTGTTGGGTTCCATGATTTTTCTTCTTTTTTTTCTTCTTTCTCATAGTATAGTAACTATAAGTAACTCTAATAGTACGACTGTACGAATGTGATTCCGTGACGTCGGAGCGTAAAGACGCCTTGAAATGTGCCCCTAGTAAACACCAACTAATAGCGGCGTTGTATACACAACAATGTTATTGATATTATTTATTATTATGTGTGATAATGATTTGATTGTTGAGTGAGAAATAATAATGTATTAGATTGTATATATGGTGTTCCAAACTGAGCTCAGTTTCGGTGGTGCGCAAGTAGAATGGGTGAGACTGAGCAGAAAAGTTCTATACTATTTTGCAAATAACACAAAATTTCGAGTTATCAACGATTGAAAATGGCCGTGTATGTAGGCTTCTTTAATTAATAACTAGAAAATTTGCGGGTTATTTACAAAATGGTATAGGACTTTTCTGCTCACCCGTTCTACTTGCACACCACGGGAATCGAGATTAGTTTGAGACATCCTGTATAGTGACGCGTAGTAGCAAAAAGTTTAAGGAAAAACATCCGGTGATTAAAATATGACAAAAAAAAAAAGAAAACAAAAACACGGTGGAAAAAAGTATTATTCATTGCGACAACTTTTAAATAAATAACATTTTTTCATTGGGGTTTAATTGGTTCTGTAGAAAATTTGTTGCTTTTTAATTAAAAAAAAAATTGTCTCGATATCTTCATCCTAATATTCTTGTCTTTTTTTTTCTGCAACCTTGGCTTCTTTCGTTGCGGAACACGTTGCGTCGATCTTTGTTTTTTAATAAAAAAAAAAAAAAGTATCTCGATATCTTTATCCTGATATTCTTGTCTTTTTTTTTGCAACTTTGGCTTCTTTCGTTGTGAAAAACGTTGCGTCGATCTTCGCTTTGTCGAGACGGTTCTCATATTATTTTGCACATTTCGGCGGTACGAAGTGCGCCTTCTTCATTGATAAGGCGTTCATTGAATCAAGAAATTCGTATTTTTCCGTCATTAAATACTGCTACATACATGCAGCAATAATATCAACAATATCGGCTCCGTCAAAAGAATCTTTCCGAGGTACTTTCTGCACAGTTGAGAGAAAATTCTTATTAGCATTTTTTCTTGTAACGACCGATGCGTCGAAATAACGAATTATTCTCAGACAAAACTTTAAAGATCGGCCTTACCGCACTCTTCTTTGTTTAATTTCCTATCAATCGCGTGTCGCAGCTCTGTGCCGCCGACTTTCAGACTGCATCGGTTCACATTTTCCGCTCTCTTGAACGCAATTTTTCGTATTTCTCAATTCGGTAAATGGCAGAATACTTCTAAAGATTCGCGCTATCGGAAAATGTAAAAAAAATTAAAATCGATTTTCGCGAAATTTCAAACATGTATACTCCCCTTAACAACAATTTAAACGCGTGTTAATCTTTCTGATTCGTTAATCTCCGGCCGACATACACACACACGTTATCGTCGTTTATCTGGAATAATAAATGAGCTCGTATTTGCGTATATACACGCGATACGTGCGTGATTTTTCGTGTCCTTTGTTCTCGAAGAAGCTGACCCGGAAGAAGAATGGCGTACGAGAACGCGGAGCGGCGAAGAACGATGAGAGGCTGCGCGGAGCGTCTGGGCCGAATTGCGTCGAGACGTGTGCCGATCGTCGCGTGGCTGCCAAAATACAACACGGAGAAGTTCCTCAGCGATGTAATCGCTGGCGTCACCGTCGGTCTCACAGTTATGCCGCAGGGCCTCGCGTACGCGACCCTGGCCGGCTTGGAGCCTCAGGTATGTTATTATGAAAAAGAAGAGAAATCAACCAAAAAGTAACTCAAGAGAATCGGGTCGACGAACTGAATCTTTCAGGGCAGGACGTTTGTTGGGAAATTAATTGGCCGGACTTTCGCAGCGAAATTTTGGAATTTGTTTAACCTTTTAATGGCCAGTGGTACATGCATGTATATGTGTGACCTTCTTTGAAAAATTATAACTTCTACAGAAGTGAACTTATCGACACCGTTTTTGTCTCATTTTGGAAGGGAAGGGCGGAGCTGTATAAAAAAAATTTGACGAGTATGAGGGTTGCGCCCTTTCAGCTATATGGCATGTCAAATTGTGCGGAAATAATTAAAAATGTAAAGTGAGGATAATTTCCATAGGAAGTTTTTCTTTCATGTTTCGACGTTTTAATTTCATATGTGTGTTTTGAAATGGCGTCAAAAATGGAAGCAATATGGTTCTCAGGAAACTATCCAATAACGGTAATAGTACGTCAAAAACCACCATTGCAGTGATAATACATTTAAAAGTAGATTTTGGTATTAAAAACGCATACGATGAGTTCAGTTTACTTTTATTCTTATTTTCAACAATTTCGGAAAACTGTAGGATTTGAAACCAAAAATTTGTATAACAAATCGGGGTGCTCTTTTATTGCGAGTCCCCTCGCCCCTCACAATTCGGGGTGCTTTTTCCTTCATTTAGGAATAGTAATTAATGATGTCATCATTGGCATATATATATATATATATGTACATATTCTGGAAAATTTTTTCATCAATTCACATCAGGATAAAATAACTATTGGATTACAATTTTTCACATTTAAGAGGTCCTTTTTCTAAGGGTTAATAATTCTTGTTCAGAAGAATAATAATGATCTATAAGATTCTTATAACATTACTGCATGTTCCGAAATTCTAACTTCTTCAACTTAAAGTATGATAATAAAACAAGAAATGGGATTATATTTTTTTTTGCATCATGGGTGGTTTTTTCATCTAGGGACGATTTATATGGGTTGAAAAATTTTAGAAAACATTTTTTTACACAATAAATATTAGTTCAGATCTATCATGTGTCGAATATATAAAACCAACGCAAAAAAGTCGGCTGTTAAAGGGTTAATTCGCCGTTCTGTGAATTCTCCGCTGTTGTTATTTTCGGTCGAAACTGAGCGAATTTGATACATTTCCATCCACCGTCATGGAACAAATGCATTTTAATCGGCCGGAACGTTCACTCGGATATGGATTGAAAATTCGGCCCGAGTGAAACATTTACTCTTGTGATTTCGAGTATCAGTATTTTCACTCCTTTTGAGTGAGATTTCACTCCGAGAAATTTCGAAATTTGTGTCATGCACGTACAAGTAGATTTCAGTTTCGTTAATATATTCTAATTTTCGTTAATGTATTCTATTTTATCGTTTACACATTATTTTGAGTATTTTCTTATTCTACTGTTATCTTAATATTTTAACATTTTAATATTTTATGTTAATTTCTTCATATTTTACTGTTGCACGAAAAAGAAACTCTGTTCGTGAAATAGATTCTTTGTTAGAACCGAAAATTTGTTTGTAAAAACAGAAAGATTAAGAGATTTCTCGATTCGCTCGATCGTTCTTAGTTGTCTCAACCACGTTTCAACGCGGCTGAATATTCAGACAAGTGTTTTTGATTTTGCGACAACAGAGATGTCGCGTCCAAATCTTGTCAAATTTCACTAGCGTATTAATCGAAAAAAAAAACGCGATCTACACGCGTGTAAAGTTAGAGGAATATTCGGCCGTACCGAAGCTGAGGTAATCGAAATCGCAAGTCAGCGCTATTTACGAGTACCACAGGTATGAAAGCGACTTCCGATATCGCGTTTTTTTCATTAACTAACGACCAAACTACTCTTATTTCAATGAAAAACTAGAAGACGATAAAGATGAAAAAAAAAATGACAAGATCGTTGACTATTTAATTTTACAGAGAAAAATTGATATTGACTGTTCTTCGTCACTGAACTGGCGCGCACTTTCGGGACTTAAGAAACGGAAACAGACATACAGTGATTTTGTGCGAAAAGGAGGGAGAGAGAATTAGCTTAAGCTAACGCAAGCCATAGTTCATCTAAAAAGAACAAACCTATAAATCATGTTTATCTATATAATCAATGTTTATATATATTTAACGTAGAATTATTGAGCTTCTTTGTGCTATATTAACCATTAACCTTCTAACAGTATTCGTCACGGACCGATTATTTCCTAAAATCTCGCGAATCCGCGTCGCGTTTTTCCGTTCCATTTTTCCATCTCTGCTCGTGCTCTCAAGTCCACTTTCGATAATAGCTATCGATACTTCAACGTCGTTAATTCGGCAGCGGCTCTCGCGAGATATGAGATATACGCCGGCAAGTTTTTTACGAGCAACACGCCGATTATTGCGGTACGATTAATGAACGGATTAATAATACCGGCCTGGATACGTCGCATTTTCTCTCTCTCTCTCTCTCTCTCTCTCTCTCTCGCTTCGGCTCTGTCAGATGCGGCTCGCTTTGACATCACACATTTAATACGCTTAATACGTTTTGCTTCCCTTCCAGTACGGTCTTTACTCGGCGTTCATGGGAGCGATGGTCTACGTGATATTCGGCTCCTGTAAGGACATCACGATCGGTCCTACCGCGCTCATGGCGCTAATGACACACGATTACGTGCAAGGGAGAAACGCCGATTTCGCCATACTCCTCGCATTCTTGTCCGGCTGCCTGCAATTATTAATGGCATGCTTGCGTTTAGGTATGGCGCGGGTCAAACTATGTGAGAGAGGGCGGTGTTGTGCGTCTGTGTGTATACAGGGTGTCCCAAACTGATCTCGGTTTCCCGTGTTGTGCAAGTAGAACGGGTGAGGCTGAGCGGTGAAGTCCGATGCAGTTTTGCAAATAACGCGCGAAATTTCGAGCTGTCGATGATTGAAAATGGCTATGTATGCCTCTTTAATTAGTAACTGGAAAAATTTGCGTGCTATTCGCGAAGTGGTAAAGAACCTTTTTTTGTTCAGAGCGGCCGAGTCTATGAGTATATGACGATTGTTGCACCGGGAGCCGAGATCAGTTTGGGCCATCTTGTATAAAGTCGCCTCAACTTGAGCGAGACGACTGTCGGATAAAAACGCGATAGAAAATAAATCTCGTATGGGAAAGATATTGTCTGGGTCCGCTGAAATGGTATATATAATCAGTGGGAGAAAAGTCGCAATACTTTTGCCACCCCGGTGAACTTCGGTAACACATATTCGGTATACGAGAGAAGAATGTATTCTCTGAGAATTATGAAGAAAATTCTTCTACCAGATACGAGGAACTCACACTGCATTGCAAAATACCTCTCCGAGATATAAAATGTTGCGACCTTTTATTCATTGACAACCGTGCGACCGATTATTCAAATTACATTTGATTATACTTTATGCGCATAGCTCGATAAAACACGGTAGTATCGATGCTAATCATAGTCTGCCGATTACCAATGACCGTCATTGAAAATGTCAACACCTTGATCGCCACAATGACATAAAAGACTCTCTTTTTTTGACGCTGTTTTAAATATGCCGAGTGTTTCTAATTAATTTTTTCTCCAATATACTAATTTTAACTTTTACCATATATAATTTAATATAATTAAATAAATATAATTTACTATATATCATTATTTATAATTATATATAGTTAGGCAGATAGATCGTTTTTAATATGATAATTATTTATAATTGATATTTTAATAGAATAACTAATTATTGGTAATTGATAATTTTTGATATGATTTTAATATAATAATTGATTATTTATAATATTTTTACATGATAATTATATATAATTGATACTTCAATATGACGATTAATTCTCTTATATACAATTATTTTTATAATTATATTATTATTTAGCAAGATTCACACAAAAAAGGAACCTACTAGCTGGCAGTTTGCGTAGAGAATATTTTTGCTCGCACCAGGCGTGAGACAACTCGTATCCGACGGTCAGACGCAAGTATTACGTCTCTTTCTCTCTCTCTCTCACGTGGAGAAACGATTTTGCAGGCGTGCTGATAGACTTCATCTCGATACCGGTGACCGTCGGCTTCACATCGGCGACGTCCGTCATAATCGTCGCCTCGCAGCTGAAAGGCCTGCTCGGTCTAAGGATCTCGTCGCAGGGATTTATGGACACTTTGGCGAAGGTGTTCGAGAACATCGGCGACACGAGCTTCTGGGACACCACGATGAGCTTCTCCTGCATTGCGATTCTCCTGTTCTTCAGGGTAACGCAATGAATCTTCGTCGTATCGCGCGTTCCGTCTCTCTCTTTCTCTCTCTCTCTCTCTCTCTCTCTCTCACATTCACTCACTCGCTCTGACGCGTTTTGTGAATTCCCGTAGAAGATGAAGGACATCAAGCTGCAGGCCGCCGGCAAGAAACCGAAGAGCTACCAGCACGTGATCGCGAAGACGATATGGCTAATCTCGACGGCGCGGAACGCCATCATCGTGATCGTCTGCTCCGCCATCGCCTACAAATTTCATTCGCCCGACACGGGAGAATCCCCGTTCATCCTGACTGGCCCCGTGAGATCCGGTCTTCCCGCCTTCGGCCCGCCACCATTTTCCACCCGGGTGAACAATCAGACCCTGAGTTTCACGCAGATGTGCTCGGAACTCGGCACCTCCGTGGTGTTGGTGCCCATAATAGCGGTGCTGGGGAACGTCGCGATAGCCAAGGCCTTCGCGAACGACGGCAAGATCGACGCCACGCAGGAGCTGCTGACCCTAGGCGTCTGCAACGTCCTCGGGTCCTGCGCGAGCTCGATGCCAGTCACAGGCTCGTTCAGCAGGTCGGCGGTGAACCACGCAAGCGGCGTGAAGACACCGATGGGCGGACTCTACACCGGTATTTTGATCCTGCTGGCCCTCAGCCTCCTAACACCGTATTTCTACTTCATCCCGAAAGGTAAGTAGACGAGTTGAGCTTCGTTGAGCTTTATCGAGCCCTGATGATTATTCGGGCTTCCCGAAGGACTCGTAACTTCCGAAGAAAAGGACGAAGGTCGGTGAGATCGTTTTCACGTCTTTTTCTGATTAACCTTTTTAACCACATATTTCTCCTCCCGCTTATTTTCCATTGAATTTATTTGGCGCCCGGAGGGTTTCCGCTCGCTGATCACGAGTGTGAGGTCAAAATTGACAAATGTTTTAAATCTAGGATGACTGGTCCAATATGGAGGGCCGAAATCGCAGCGAATCAACCGAATCATCTCAGACTTGGTAGAAGGATTTTATCTATGCTGTAGATTATCATCATTTAGATCCCTCTGACTCGTTTTCGCAATATTGCATTTCATAACTTGCACTCGGAAACATTGAGAGCCATAAACACTGGGTTTTTGCATGTTTAATTCACTATTTCGTATTCGACGTTTCGAATTTTGTAATATTACAATTTCGACCCCAAATTCGTAATCAGCGAAAATCCATCCGAAAACCCTCTTATATGCCACATTTGAAGAGAATCGCTTGATTCGCTGCAGTTTCAGTCCGCCATATTAGACCGCCATTGTGGATTTTGAAACTTTCTAATTCTGATATCAGATTTGTAATCAGCGACCCGAAAACCTCCTGGATACTACATTTGAAGAGAATTGCTCGATTTGCTGCAATTTCGGTCCGCTATATTGGGCCGCCATCTTTGATTTTGAAAATCCTCCAATTCTGACATCAGATTCGTAATCAGCGACCTCAAAATATCCTATATGTAAGTTTTAACACCTAAATTTGGGAAAAGTCGCTGGAAAATGCATTTCCTCTGAAAAAAAACAATCATTTTTCTTAATTCGATTATTTATAACTTTTGCACTTAACGAAATGTGTATTTCGACGATTTTTTTTTACATTCACCTATCCCTGAGATACTAGAAAATAAAAAAAAAACCAATGCAAATATAGCGATGAAAATTTTATTGGCAATAATCTGAAAAGAAAAGGTGGGGATTTTCTAATATTATTAGAAGTGGACATATAAACATCTGTTAACACACTGATGACGCATAAATGCGTCATTTAGGTCCTCAGGTGCGGATGACACAAATATACATAATCGACATCTTCATATATCTGTCTCTATATATAAATATATATAAATTTATATATAAATTATAAATTTATATATAAATTATAAATTTATATATAAATTTATAAGACGTTATTAGTGGCTCAATTTTTCGTCAGAAATGTCATACTGGATGTTCCACGAATTGAAAAAATTGGTTATTGCTTTATCTTTCTGTTATAATCAGCAATGAGTGATACCGAGACAGGATCTCTCTTTTCATTCTATTCTCACTCTACTCTCACTCTATACTCGCTCCACTCAAATTTTGTGAAATATTCATCAGATAAAGAGTTATAGCAAATTTTTTTTAATGTTACCCGAGTGAAACGATAAAAGCAAAACCGGCCCGTTGCCAATGTGTTAATATTCCAGAAATATTGCTTAATATTACTAGAATATTACTAGAATATTCTAAGAATATGCCTAGAATATTGCTTAATATTAAATAATATACTAAATAATATTAATAATATTAATATTAATAACATCATAAAATAATAATATTAAAAATAATATAAAAATAATATTATTAATAATATTAATATTAATAATATTATAAAATAATAATATTAAAAATAATATGAAAATAATAATATTAATAACATTAAATAACATTACGCGCTTACAGGATACAAGATCAGACTATGAATCCCAACCCAATCCCACATATTTCAGACATCTGCGTGTCTGCTGTCTGAGCGAACACTGAAATTTTGTCGTTGATCTTCGCCTCTCTTTTTTCAGCCTCGTTGTCGGCCGTGATTATTTGCGCGGTGATATACATGATCGAGTACGAGGTGGTCAAGTTGATGTGGCGTTCGAGCAAGAAGGATCTCATACCGATGTTCGTCACCTTCTCGTTCTGCCTCGTCATCGGCGTGGAATACGGCATTCTGCTGGGGGTCGGCACGAATCTCATGTTTCTGTTGTATCCCTCCGCGAGGCCGACCGTCCACGTCGACAAACGTACGGTGGGTAGCTCGTAATCTGATGGCCGCTTCTTTCCGTTGAAATGACGACTGAATTTTTACACCGCTTCGTATCTGAATTTCTGCCGTTCGGCTCGCCATTCGTTCATTTGGTACGTTACATTTTTCCGTAGACCGATCAAGGCGCCGAATATTTACTGGTCACTCCGGGGAACAGCCTGTATTTCCCGGCCGTCGACTTTATCAAGCAGTCGGTCGGCAACGCCGGTATAAAGCAAGGATCTAGTCAGGTGCCGGTCATCGTCGATTGCCGATACATTTTAGGGGCGGATTTCACAGCCGCTAAGGTAAGGAATCCCGGAGAGAACCCAGTTTAGACGATCCCTTTCGAGGATGTCCTCAGGATGTCCTTGAATATCAAGACGTCATCCTGAAGACACGTGAGGCCTGTTGTTTTAAGGCTCCGGAGTAACTCAGCTAAGAACTCCGCGTTGACAATAGCAACACACGGTTGAAAACGACGAAAGGATGAATAGAGCGGCGTTCAGCAAGCGCTACAAATGCTTCGAAGCGATTCTCTTTCTTCGTCGATTTTTCGGGTCCGAATAAAGGAAAAAGAAAAAGAAGAAGAAACGCTGATGAATAAGGGCCTTATTACATTGTCGCCATTTTTATGGCCATTTATTGACTGTCAGGAGGGAGAAGGAGAGTTTTCGTCCATTTTCACAAGTGTCCTCGAGCGATCTCAAATGTTGTTTTGCCCAAATATCTTTTTATTTGCAAATGGCGCGCAATTTTTCACAACGTACGTCATTTCTCGCTTATGACGTCACGAATCCAATATGGTCGCGGCGACTACTCCGGAGCCTTAATATTTGTTTACTCGAAATTTACTTGACACACACACACATACGATACTCTCAGGCTTTAATTTAGAAGCAGATCTGAATTATTTATTTACGTCACACAATTCGTATGATATTATATTTGTATTCGTGATTTATAACTGAAAAATTCACGTCTCCAAAAATATCGATTCTCACATTTGGGAATCTCATTTGAAATTAATTTCAAGGAACGTCTATTAAAAACTCATCTGTGGTGATTTAAAATTAAATCCCGCCGTTTTTTTTTCCTTACGCAGGGTATAAAAACGTTAATTAACGAATTCAGCGGTCGCAAACAGGCTTTGTATTTTTATAACCCGCGATCGGACGTCGTTACCGTTCTGAAAGGCGCCTGCGGCGACGAATTTCAGTACGTCTCCACTCAGGAAGAGCTATCTTACCTGTTATCGACCATTCAAGGTAAAATCGTAAACCTCTTAGATTTCACAGTCCCGTAAGATTTGAGAATTCCATAATAACGGAATCGAGAGAATTATATATTAATTTTCAGACAAATCTCCGCAACAGCTTATCGACCAAATGCACGACAAGTCGCACATACCCATGACATTAGGTAACTCGGAGATGGTGCATCGGAACACACGTGGCTCCTGTCACGACCTCAGCGAGGTCACCAGTACCCTCTTGCACGCGACCGCCAGTTGAAAGTTAATAAAAGCGGATCGAGATTCACATTCATCAAAATTCTTACGTCGTGATATCTATTTATATATATACAAATAAAAAGCCGGACCGAATGAAAATATCGGTCCGGTTCTGATTTGCCAAAATATTTAATAAAGCTTTCGGTTTCGGTTTTCTGAACATTGAAAATACCGGTAAAACGTTTAAATTACGGTTCTTTTCGGTTCCGGTTCTTCAACTTGGTTTCCTTACTGACATTTTTATTGACACATACATATATATAACCTGTACAATAATGTATTATAAAAAATAATAATATCACTTCCTCGATGTAGATGGCATTTCTTCGCTATTCCCATCTTTTGCTCCGATATATAATATTATCCTCGTTATTTGTAACCTTTTCCTAACGGAACATGTAAATTATGTAGATTCTCAGAATGTTCGGAGATTATCTCGACATTCTCCGAGCTTTCTCAGAATATACACGTTTCGTTAGAATAATTTGTACAATTCGGCTTCATTTGATTGTCTTTCTATTCATTCCAAATTATAATACGTTACTTCTTCTATTAATCCTTTTTCGTTCAATATCGCACGCCTGAAGTTCATTCTCTATTTGTTGCGATAACTAATCAACGTTCCGCTTTTTCATGAGAACTAGAATTTTATTATAAATTAAAAGAAGAAAAGAATTATTATTTAAAATTACAGAACAAGAACCGAAATAGTGAAAACCGAGAAGAACCGCAGACCGGAAAAAACAATGTAACGGTACCGATTTCGATTCCGGTTTTGTGGGCTTTATAAAATTTCGGCACGGGTTACGGTTCCGGTCCGGGTCCCTGAATTTATATACGCATTTATCATATTTGCCCCCCCCCCCTTCCCCCCTCACTCTTCTTTCCCTGTACTGGACCGATCTTATGTCTACGTCGATGTGAGAATAAAGATGTCGAGGTGTTTTTTTTTTTCAAATATCCAATATAATTGCAATCCTTATTTAACTGGCATTAAGTACACACGAGACAATAAGTTAAAAGCGACATTGTTTTACAGAGATAATAAAGTTACTTCCTAATGCAAAGTCTTTACGTTCCTACCGCTGCTTAGTACGAGGAGTGAAATTTCCGGAAATTTGGAAGTTGGAAGTGAAACCTTCAGTCCGCAACATCGTTCCGTTCCGATATCTAACATTTCCGATCGTCGATCGTCTCCATATATATTTGTATATACATACATACATACATACATATATATATGCCCATACAATCGTTTCTTCCAACGTAGATCTATAACCGTACAATGTAGCGAAGGCGTGCGTATTAGAGTCCATCACCAGAGAAATTATTGATCGTTAGCAGAGAACGCATATTCATTACATACTCGATTTAAATGTAAATTATTACAGGTGTAACAGGTCGTAACGATAGAGAGTAAAATATTGCACTCGGAAAATTATCCTTATCTTCAATATATATTCGCTCTTAAATGAATGAGACGAAAATTATCTATACAACGAATAAGGATATGGATGATACAAAAAAAAATAAAGGCGGTACGAATCGCTTTCAGCTCTTCTTCTCTTCTTCATCTGTTCCTCTTTCTCTCTGATTTAGAATTTCGCATAGTACTCACTAAAGCCGGGGTCTGCAATGAGAATTTAAGCTTTAAGCCTTAAGAAATTGACTAATCACAATTGATTATTCTTTTATGATTCGATTGTGATTGGTCAATTTCTTAAAGCTTAAAGCATCCATTGTGGAACTAACTCAGAGCGAAAGTTTTTTAAAAATTTATCAACATATAATATTTTAAAATATATAACGTTTTAAAAGACATCTTTTGGATGTCCGAGAGAAGCAGGACGTCTCTTAAACGTTTTAACAGTTTGCGCTGCAATGGCGTTTCTTCTAGGTGTTATGCTTTCACCAGCCAAATATGCACATTACTAATTACAAACTTGACTTGATCTTGCCAGTTTTCTTTATTACAATACAATATTTAGATAGCAGAAATTACTAAAAGACAACTTAAAGACAATTTAGAGACGTCTAAATATTTGGTAAAAAATTAATTTTTATTCCCCATCGTAGTAGGGATGATAGCCATAAGTTTATGTTACAGGTTAATAATTTTTCCGCTGTTTTTTTGACCTCAGAAACCTACAACGTCCGGAATTATAGCGACCATGCAAATGAAACTTTCATTCAGCACTGTATAAAATTATTTATAACTTTATTAATATTGAATATAATAATGTGTAGAAATGATTGTTTATATGTAAAATATAGATAAATATTTGCACAAAACTTCAGAATTACATGTCTTATAGGTTTTTAAAAAAAAATTTCTAAACATCATCTATAAAACGATGTTCCGAACGAAAACACCATCTTAAAGAGATCGTAAGTTGAAATGAGTTTGATAAGAATTCAACGAAATTTTGTACTACATATATACATTGAAATATTATCTAATTGCTTGTGCGATCAGAAAATCGACTATTTGAAAGTTCATATTTGAAACTAAAATTGACACTTTTTACACGTGTTTTTTGGGAGGGTAACGTATTGGTTTTAATTTCTACTTTTAATATCTTTTAAACTGAAAATAAGATTTTGGTAAGAGACTACGATGATATTAAAGACTAATATACAGGCATTATACACAAATTTCAAAGTTATTAACCGCCATGTTTTGAAAACACAAAAGTGTAAAGTTTATCATTTACAATAATAATACTCGAAATGCATTTATACACACATACACATATTTAAACACTTATATAATTCTTTTTATTAAAATATTATTTTTTATTTTTTTCATTAACGCTATATAGCATTAATGAAAAAAATAAAAAATAATATTTTCATATTTGTAATAATGTATATATATATATATATTTACCTCAACTTAGCATATGTTTCGAATTAATATTTATTTTTTAGATAATGAAATAAACGTATGGAAACAATTTTATTCGATAAATACTAAATTTATGTTCCCAGTTGTCACTGAATGTGTCGCTGAAAAATGACCCGTTATTTCAATAATTATTCTGATATCAGATTCGCTATCGGCGACCTCAAAATACCCCATATGTAAGTTTTAGCACCTAAATTTTGGAAAAGTCGCTGGAAAATGTTTCCTCTAAAAAAATAAGAAAACAGGCATTTTTCTTAATTTGCTTATTTACAACATTTGCAACTTTTACAACTTTTGTCAGTTAACAAAGCGTGCATTTCGTCGAATTTTTTCTCTTCACCTATCCCTGAAATATTAGAAGAACAACGAAAACAGTCCAAATACAGCGATGAAAATCGTTCGTGGGGGAAAGATCTGCAAGGGAAAAAGTGGGAAGTATACTTTCCCAGCGGTGGCTCTAAGGATTAAGACGCTCTTCCTCAAGACGTCCTTCGGAAATTCGAGCCGCCCGACGCGGTCAGTAAAGGCCGGACACGACATCCGTCACCTTGCCGCGTTTGCCGATCAGCGAGGAGGTCGTGTTCCTGCGGCCGACGGGGCTTTCCTTCAGCTGCTGGTTCCCCGAGTACTTTCCCGCGTTGAAGCGGCTCTTGCCGAGGCCGAAGGTGTCGTAGGTCCTCCCGGCGAAGATCCCGGACTCGTTCGACCTGCCGGAGAACTTGTTGCCGGCCAGCCTGTCCTGCGTGTGGCGGAACGAGTTGTGCCTCGGCCCGCTCTTCGGCAGAATCACGGGCGAGTCTTCAGGACTTACATCCTCGGCCCTGTTCCTCGCTCTGTAGTTCAATTCGTTTTGGTAATTCCACTCCCGGTTCCGCCGCTCCTCCTCGTAGAGCTCGTCGCTTCTCAGCTGCTTATTGTTGTTGCGTTCGTACGCCTCACCGTTCCTCAGGCTCCTCGGTTTGGGGAGGACTTGGGGGTTCAGCTGTCGCCTCGGCTGCTTCTCGAAGTCATCGCCGGGAGCGTCGTCGGCCGACCTTGGCTGCTTCTCGGCGTTCCACTCTTGGCTCCGCTCCTGCGTGATGACGATGTCGACCATCGAGTCGAGGCCCTCGTCGATCCTGTCGAGGGACTTCGTCAGCAGACTCGGCGACTTCGGGGTGTCGACGGAGCGCGGCCTCCTCGCGGCCACCAGCGGCTCCAGGTTGAAGTCCGTGATGTAAATAAGCCCGCTGTCGCTCTCGCCCCGCGACGAGCGTCGATCCTTCCTCGAGGACGCGTGAGGATGGGAGGAGATGTGATGGAAGGACTCCGAGCGGCGCATCTTCGAGGCCGTCTTCGTGCCTGGGGGAGCCCCGGCCAGGAGCAGCGGCTGCTCCGGTTTGCCGCCGAGGACGCTCTCCGGCCTGCCGTAACTCTGCAGGCTGCGCTGCTCGTCGAAGGAGTTCAGACTCTCGAACTTCCTGATGCGACACTCCACTCGGCCAGCCGACCGCCTCGACCGCGGACTCGACAGGTTCGACTCGAGATAGTCCTGACTAGCCGAGCGGCGCAGGTACTTCCGTTTCTCCACTTCGCTCCGGTACTTCGAGCCGTGCCGGTGAACCGTGCCGGTGCGGTGATCGCCGGAGGACCGGCCGGAGGACGTCGTCTCGAGGAGTCCGTTCTTCGAGCCGAACTGCCTCGACTTGAAACCGGCGTTCTCGTAGCTCCTCACCGTGTCCTTCGTGCCGTCGTCGAGGCGGCGCAGGTCGTCCAGGCTCTTACGGAACTTCACCTGCTCCACCTGGCCGATCGTCAGCACCCCCGTGTCGCTCCTGGCCGGCTTCTGCTCGACGTTTCCGCTTCCCGTCCGCTCGTCGTACAGCTGCTTGCCGCTGTGATACTTCAGTCTGGAGGCGCTCAGCAACGAGTCGCTGCCGTCGCCGAGGGTCTCCTCCTCCGCCTCCTCCTCGTCTTCGTGGGAGTTGTACGTGGCGGCGACGTGGAGGTCGCACCGCCTCGACGCGGCCATGATGGCCGACAGGCAGGGTGGCGTCCTCCGCGGCGGCTGGGGGTGCAGGATCGCCGGCACGATCGCCTCCTCCACGTCCGGGCCCTTCACGACGATCTTCACGCTGCCCTCCATCGAGGACTTCGACGTCCTGCTCAGCACCGGGCCGTCGTCCAGGCTCAGCCTCTTCGTGGCGCTCGAGTGCGTGCTGGAGTCCTGCTCGTTGCCGAAGTAAGTCACCTGCTCGGCCTTCACCTGCCTGCGGCAATCCTGCGATCGCAGCAGCATCGTCCTCGACTCCTCGTCCGCGCGCGCCTCCTTCCTCGCGGTCTCGAAAGACACGTAACTCTCGGAGTTGTTCAGCGAGATCTTCGAGCTCGACCTGTACAGCTTCGACTTGGATTCCTGCTGATTGCGGACGCACACAACCTCGGGGCTCGACTCCTGCGTCTTGTCGCTGAACTCTTCTTCGGCGTCCTTCACGATGATCCGCAGCTCCTCGATCACGTCGTCGATCGTCGTCTCCCGGTCGTTGCTCTGCGCCGGCGAAGTCTTCGGCCTTCGGCCGGCCGCTCGCGGCTTCGAGTCCTCCGGGCTGCTGGATCTCTCCGAAGAGCTGATGCCTTCGTCCTCCGCGTTCGAGGAGACTTTCGGGCTCTTCACGACGGCGTCCGCGTGGATCGCCGGCACGCTCTTCTCCGGGCCCGGATTGCAGTCGCTCCTGCGCTTCTCCTGCAGCTGCAGCTGCAGCAGCGATACTTTCTTGCTGAGGATCCGGCAGGTCTCCTCGGCCCGCGTCACCCGACGCTGCAGAGCGTCCACGTCGACGCAATTGCGCGCCCACTTCTGCACCTCCTTGTGCAGCAGCTCGGCCAACGCGTCTTCCTCGTGCCCGTCGAAGTCACCCAGCCAGTCCTGAAGGACCTGCGGCTCTAACCCAGCTTCGCAGGCCTCAGCCTGCGAAAATAATACGAATGAGTATGCCGGGGGAAAAAGGGGAGGGAAGGATCGTACAGAAATGTCGGTTCCCGCGGTGTGCAAGTAGAACGGGTGAAACTGAAAAGTCCTGCACCGTTTTGCAAATAACGCGGAAAATCTCGCGTTGTCGGTGATTGGAAATCGTCATTCACGGAGGCTTCTTTAATTAATAACTACTTAATTAACAACAAAAGTTTGTCACCATTTTGCAAATAACACGCAAATTGTTGAGTTATTAATTAAAGAAGCCTCTCTATAGATTTTTTATCGCTGATAACTTGACATTTTGCATGTTATTTGCGAAATGGTGTACGACTTTTCCGTTCAGTTTCACCCGTTCTACTTGCACACCACGGGAACCGAGATTAGTTTGGGACACCCTGTATATATAATTATATTTATATATTATAATTACAATTTATTATAATAATAATTATTATTATTACATATTAATAATATTAATTAATTACTTAATAATAATTAATATTATAATACATTGTAATTTAATTATAATTTAATTATAATTATTATTATTACATATAATAATGATTATTATTATTATTATTGATTATTCGAGAAAAAACACAAAAATTGGTCAACCGACATGTTTCTCAGCTGTAAAGTGCACTGAATTCTGTTGGTCAAAATATGAATTTCGTTTCTTAAGTATGGCCAGTCCCAAGAAAAGTTGTAAAGCGTTTTTTTTTCATAAATTTTTGATAAGTTTAAAAACATATTTTGGGTCCAATTAGGAGAATTGGTTTTTTAGTAATTCTTGGGAAATACATTTTCCTATATTGTATTGCAGGACTCTTTGATGTTCCAATTTTTTTGTGAGCGCTCATACGATGCAATAGTTGAAATGGCGTTTTCCTGCCTGTAAACGCGCTCGTATGTATCATCAGTGTTATTTTCGTTGAAATGAAGTTTTTGTTGAATCAAACAACAAACAATATCCCACAGACATTCTACGGATATCCTGTTGATATCCTTAGGACATCGGGACATTCTCAGGACGTCCCTGGAAGATCTGTGCTGTTCGGGAAGTTGTTCTTTTTGTGAAAATTAAAATAAGAACCAGTGGCAAATAATTTATTTGGCAATGTTATTTTAAATATAATAAGTTATTTAGCTATTTTTTGAATATAATATAATAAATATAAATTTTGAAAATTTCAGACCGAAAATCTGAATTTAGATTTGGTATGTCAAAAGCGAGAAAATATATGTTGAAAATTCTTGAAAAACACGTTGAAGTGCAAAATCTATAATATAATGCAATCAACTCTTAACGGATATGTAAAATATTCTGGGAATTTTCTCTCTGTCTCGACGATCAAGAAATAACCAATAAATAAATGTGACAAAATCATATAATTAAAAAGTAAGCCACCTGTCGCGTTAAATTTCATGGATAATCTATCGATTATCGGTGAAAAGGGAAAGTTTTCGAAATGTCGATTTACCGATCCACTCGCAGCCGATCGCAGGTATCAATTTATGGGCACGTTTTTTGTGTCAACGTGCCTCGTGAGAATATTGAGAATTTATTCGTTCTTGATTTCCCGTTAATCAAAATGTGTAAGAAAGCAAGAGAGATCGAGAGAATAATCGGGAATTTTCGGTTTTCACCTGAATGTACAATCTGGTTTGCGTGCGGGGCGCGGATTTCAAAAAGGCGTTCAGAAATGAAACACCCGCGACTCTCAGCGCGATGGCCGCTCGGGGGGCTAAGAGGGCGCCCGCCAAAAATCGGAATCTCCCCCCCTCGCCGTATTTGAGCCTCAAGGTCGACACTGCTTCTGAGACAGCCGCGTGTCCACCTGGCGCTTGGCACACTTTCGTCAAAAGCTGCAAACACAAGTCAGTCATTATTTATCAATGCGTGCATGTCGTGTGCGCACTCTGTGGCGCACCGACAAACTTCAAGAACTTGAGGAACAGACAACAATAGAATTTACTATACAATCGAGAGCTTGGAGCACTCTGTAATTTCCCGATAAAACGTCTCGATAGAAGATTGGATATTTCCTGTATATACGTATACATAGGGTGTGCCAAACTAATCTCGGTTTCTATAGTATGCAAGTAGAACGGGTGAAACTGAGCGGAAAAGTTCTACCGTTTTGCAAATAACACGCAAAATTTCCAGTTATCAGTGATTGAAAATGGTCATTTACAGAGGCTTCTTTAATTAATAACTCAAAAATTTGCGTGTCATTCGCAAAATGGTATAGAACTTTGTTTTTGTTCAGAGTAGCGTAATCTACAAAAATATGACAGTTGTTGTACCTAACGGCAGACATCGATATATTGAATTTTGACCCTTAGTTCTCGAACTTATCTTTAGGTACAATAGTTGTCATATATACGTTAGGTACAATAGTTGTCATATATACTTGTAGATTAGACTGTTCGGAACAAAAAAGGTCTCTCACCATTTTGCAAATAACACGCAAATTGTTGGGTTATTAATTAAAGAAGGCCTTTGTACACGATCATTTTCAATAATTGATAATACACGACACACGAAATTTTCAATAATTTATAAGTCGAAATTTTGCATGTTATTTGCAAAATGGTATAGGACTTTTCTGTTCCGTTTCACCTGTTCTACTTGCACACCACGGGAACCAAGATTAGTTTGGGACATCCTGTATATATACATATATATATAAAATAAACAAAAGTAAATATATATAAATAAAATAAATAAAAATTAAATAATAATAATATAGAAAAATACATATAAATAAATATATATATAGAAAATATAGAAAAACAAAATATATTTATTTATATTTTTCTATATTATTATTCTATTTTTTTGAATATTCTAAGAACATTTTTATAACATGCCAAGAATATTATGTGGAGTGGACATATAACATCAATAGAATATTTCCAGAAAATTAAAAAAATATTACATAGTATTTTTGGAATATAGTAAAAATATCATATTAAATATTTAATAATATTCACATAGTCTATATATATTCTAGGAATATTATGCGCTTATAGGGTTTCTTCGGCGAGGAGGAAGAGTTGATCCAGTTCTCGAGATTCGTCGGAGGAGAATCGCTAAAATACTTCTCGCTCGGCGGAGCTTCACGTTTCTTTCTCTCCCGCGTTCATTCTTTCCCTTTTCGCAGTGCGCGCGTGCGTGCATTTTTCTCACACGCCTCTGCGATTTTGCGGAGCGATCACGTGCCGTGGAAGTAATTATTCTGCCTCATATAAGCGCGAGCGCGCCGATCGCACCGCGCGATATCCGCTCGCAAGCGTACAGAAGATCCTGAGAGAGTCGGAAGGCAAAGAGACGGCAGGAGAGAGAAAAACATCCTCGACATGTGTAAGTTTGCAAATGAAGTCGACCGAATAACGTTTGGCGGATAAAAACCGATAAGAACTGGTTTCGACGCGGAGTCGATCCTCGAAATAACGGGTCCCGCGCGCGGAACCTGCCGAAACGATATTGCCCTCCCGGTAAGCGAGAAATCGTCAACACGTTATTACAATGATATTTTATAACACGTAACATTTTTAAATATATCCTCTGTACTGTACCGTTATCTAGATAAAATTATCTACACAATCTCCGGATGAATAGCTAGATAATCTTTATCTTTATCTAGATGGAAGAAATACAAAATACATTCACCTTCATCTTAGATAAATGTTTTATTTTTTTAAATCTAAGATGAAGGTGAATGTATTTTGTATTTCTTCCATCTAGATAAAGATAAAGATAATCTATCTATTCATCTGGATGATTATGTAGATAATTTTATCTAGATAGCGGCAAACACCGTGTACGATACTGTAACAACATTTACTGAGAGAAATATTTCTCCCCGAAATAATTCTTTCGTTTCGACGCGAATTATAATCACAAACACCGGCAATTTTTTCCCCCGAATGAGTGCCAACGGCCGGCCGCTGTGCCTAATCGGTTCTTTTTCTCTAACGGTATCGCGGAACGCGCTTTGCGCGTTTGAACGGAAGTGGCGATTGTTACCTGAAGAGCCAGAACCCGAGACCGGTTCAGGCTGCTGGTCAGACAGACCGCGAGAGCCAGGAGGCCGGGTTGCGCCTGCACCAACAGCCGCGGCGCGTCCGCGCAACGTTCGCCGCACGCGGCCAGGCACTCCACGCAGCCCAATTCGTCCAAGGCGGCCCTCCTGGTGCCAAGTCTGGGCCCGGTCTGCCCCGGCGGTGAGCTCTGTGCCAGTTGAACGCCGCGCAGCGTCTCCAGCAGCAGGGTGATCCCGTCCGCCGGCGGCGACGCGAATTCCTGCACGAAGCTGAAGAGGAAGTCAATTGCTTCGGTGAGAAGATTTTTACGATGGCTCGAGGAGATTCGTTGTTACAATGAAATGTAAAATCATTTATCGAAAAGTTAAAAATGATTGATTCATTAAAAAGTTTAAATTTATTAAATTCTTATTATTATTTAGTGAAATTATTTATGTAAAAGTATCTATCTTGTTAGACGCTCATTTTAACGTTAAGTGACACCTTAATTGAAAACGATGAATTATTGAATGTGAGTAAATTATTTCAAATTTAAGAGAATATTCATTAGAATTATATAGGGTGTCCCAAACTAATCTCGGTTCCTGTGGTGTACAAGTAGAATGGGTGAAACGGAGCAGAAAAGTCCTATTGCTATTTATAAAATGCTATTTTGCAAATAACCCGCAAAATTTCGAGTTATCAATGATTGAAAATGTACAAAGGCCATTCTTTAATTAATAACGCAACAATTTGCGTGCCATCTGCAATATGATGCAGGACTTTTTTGTGCCAAATAGTCTAATCTACAAGTGTATGACAACTATTGTACCAAACGACAAGTTCGAGGTCCAAGGGTCAAAGTTCAATATAGATAACAATTGTCATATATTTGTATCACAGATTAGGCCGGTCTGAACGAAAAAAGTCTCTCACCATTTTGCAGATGACATTATGTAAACCCGAGCTGGCTCGATATACGGAACGATTTGCTGCAATGAGTATGTTAATACCTATGATCTATCGAAATAGGTTTCACGAGCGGATTGACAATTGCTTCCACACATCGTTTATTTCTTCAGCTCTGCGAGCCGATCCGTTTAGTCACGATATTTAATTTCACCCGGCGAACCATAGATATTTGCTAAATCAACCGATTAACTTTTTCCTCTCAGTGAACAGAGCCGGGGCGATTGAATCGACCGGGAGCTGTTCCGTCGGGGATCGAGAATACAGAGGAGAGGAAGCCCATCGTCAAAAGGAAAGCGAACGACTATAAAGCTCTCGGTAGATCGAAAGTCCGATCATCGACGCGCACATCGCTCGGCCGCAACATTTCAAGTTTTACTTGCGAGATCGATGCGTGACGGCTTAACTAGTTACGCCAATGAGGACGGCGAAGGGTGAGGGAGGGAGAGAGGAGAGTAGTGACATTCTCACTGTACCGCGAAAAAATCGGCATAAGCGTCGTAGATATTTGAAACACGAAGAAAAAAGAGCGGTAATTACATAATTACAGGTCTTCCCGCTCGACGAGAAAACCGATCCGGTTTGCGGCTCGGCAAGTCGAGATTGTCACCGTCGGAAGAGAGACAGAGAGAGAGAAAGAGAGAGACAGAGAGAGAGAGAGAGAGAGGGGACGACTTCGTGATCAGGATGAAGGAATCGATCATCATCGATACGGAATATATTAACAAAGACGTCTTGGCAAGAAGACCTGTCCCCGCTGCTACCGTGACGACGATGGCGACGGCGACGGCGTACGCAGCGGCCTGAGATAGATATTTCTTTGATCGAAACTCATTTTTTCAAGTTTCACCTCAAGTCGACGTAAATGCACGGGGAAAGCGAATTTTGCTGGAACAGCGAATGTTTGTCGATTTAGCGACGGCGAAAAGGTAATCTGTTTAGACAGAAAAGAGTTTGTTTGGACAGCAGAAAAGTTCTTGTTAAGAGCGCTAATGACTATTTGCCGGATATATTTGCGGACAATTAATATTCTTAACTAATTTTTCTGCTGTCCAAACGAACTCTTTTCTGTCTAAACAGATTTCTGTTTTGCCGTCGCTAAATCGACAAACATTCGCTGTTCTAGCAAAATTTGTTTTCCCCGCGTGCAGCCTTACGATGTCCTGTTTAATAATGTTTTATGGTGTGAAATAATCGCAGGTTATCACCATGTATAGGGTATTCCATCGAAAGGTATCATTTTAAATTAATATAAAAAAGGAATAGGTTTTTGTAGACGTTGAGATATATTTATTCTAATCCAAAGTACAGATTGTGCGATTAAACGTGGAACACAATATCGTCTAAACGGCCGCCTCGACTTTTTTTACAAATGGTCATTCTTTTGAGGAAATTTTCCATCATATTTTCGCACAATTGCGGCTCAATTTCGCCAATAACAGTTCGAATATCGTCTTTGAATGCTTGAATCGTTTGCGGAGCATTTCTGTAAATCTTATCTTTCACATAACCCGAAAGAAAAAATCTAGGGGTGTCAAATCGTACGATCTGGGCGGCCTGAAGTCTCCGTTATGCGAAATGACACGTCCAGGGAACTTCTCACGTAATAATGCGATCGTTTCACGGCTTGTGTAGCACGTAGCCCCATCCTGCTGAAAATAAACATCGTCTAGGTCCAGTTCTTCAATTTCAGGCCAAAGAAAGTCTACCAGCATTTTTCGGTAGTGCAATCCATTGACTGTCACAGTGCAATCATCTTCATTTTCGAAAAAATATGGCCCGATGACGCCGCGAGCCCAAAAACCGCACCAAACTGTCACTCGTTGTGGATGGAGAGATTGCTCGTCAATCGCTCTTGGGTTTTCAATGCAGATGCGGCAGTTTTGCTTATTGACGTAGCCTTGAAGGTGGAAATGGGCCTCATCGCTCAAAATGATTTTCATTTTTGTCGAAATTCAAAGTTCGAAAATTCCGGTCGAAAATTCAACTTCAGATTTGCGACGGCGGTCGCACTCGCTTTCGAGTTATGAGAGCCGGAGTATCATTTACCGGAAAATACTAAGAGCCACGTACGCGAACTGGATAAACAAGGCTTCCCTCTTCGGCCCCCTCCGGCCCCCTCTTCTCGTCCGAGGCGCACCAGGAGTCGTCTGTCGCTCTCGCTTGAAAATTACCCGAGCGGATCTCACTTCTTCGCTGAACTTATCCCGGAGGCAACCAACCGGCGGAGCTCGAATAATTCAGGAGTCGCAGCGGATGTGCGATGGTTTAACCCTCAGAAGCAACTTCTTTTCTCTTTTCTTTCAGATTTTCGTCGATAAAGTTTTCATTGCTATATTTGAACTGGTTTTTTTTCTTATTTTTCTAGTATCTTAGGAATGGGCGAATGTAAAAAAAGAAATCGTCGAAATGTATATTTTCTTAACTGCGAAAGTGTTATAAATAACCGAATGAAGAAAAAATGCCTCTTTTTCAGAGAAAATATATTTTCCAGCGACTTTTCCACAATTTAGGTGTTAAAATTTACATATAGGGTTTCTTGAGGTCGCCGATTACGAATCTGATATCAGAATCAGAAGATTTCCAAAATTCAAAATGGCGGTCTAATATAGCGGACTGAAATTGCATCTGATTAAGCGATTCTCTTCAAATGTGATATATAAAGGATTTTCTGATTGCTGATTACGAATCTGGGATCGAAATTGAGAAATTCGAAATGTTGAATGCAAAATAATGGATCGAACATGCAAAAGAAACTCAGTGTTTATGGCTTCCGAGTGCCAATTATGAAATGCAATATTGCGAGAACGAGTCAGAGGGATTAAAATGATATGATCTACAGCATAGACGAAAATTTTGCTTATACCAAATTCGAAGCGATTCGGTTGATTCGCTGCAATTTCGGTCCTCCATATTGGGCCCGCCATCTTAGATATCAAAAATTCTGCAATTTCGATCTCGGATTCGCGATCGGCGATCCGCAAAAGCCCCCCAAGTGTCAAATTCGATGAAGAATAAGGGGGAAGAAAAATGTGTGGCTTCAGTTTTAATACGCGGCAACGGCTTCGACATGTTCGCTCGAACACGGCTGGTGTCACACGTGAAGCCGAAGCCTATCACCGGTGTTTCGCCGATCGATTCGAGAGTATCCTCTTACCTCGGCAACTCTCTGACTCATCATCGGCGCCGGAGAGCGGGAGAGCAACTGCAACGGGGCGAGGTGATTTCCCTTTATATGACAGCTGTGTACGCGACTCGCGACTCGGTGCGTTCGCCTTAAGGTAAACAGGTGCAAGGTGACGAGGAAGTGAACAAGTTACACCGCTGACGGGACCGACGATCGCGCCGATTTTTCCGCCGATTTCGTCGAAACCAACCACATTGGTAAGTTCAAGCGTCACTTTTACACGCCAATAAACGTTTCGAAATGACGCATCGACTGTGAAGTTGTTTTCACCGTGTTTTCTCGCCGGATTTTAACTTACGTCACTTTTCAAGCGTTTAATCGTTTGTTAAATTAACGACCTTAAATTACAATGTGTTAACACGTCAAGTCATATTAAGTGACGTGATTTAATACGGCAAGTCACGTGTAAGAAAAGCTTCAGCTAAAGGATTTGCAGTTTGTACTGTAATCGACGACTCCAGTCATCGTCTCTCTCTCTCTCTCACTGGTATGTCAGTTTAGTTTCCTTAATTGCGTCGCTCGGGAGGCATGCAATGGTGTGCAGGAAGCAGCCGGCGGCCTTTTGCAGCCCGCGCACCTGCGGTTCGCGCGTATTTTGCGGGGATTCACGTGCGTAGTCCAATAGAATCCGTGAGAATCGCCGCACAATGAAAGCCNCCGCACAATGAAAGCCCCCCCCCCCCCGCGTCATTCCGCGAGGATATCGCGGATTCATCAAGAGTACGACGCGCTCCGAATTCTCCTCTCGCGACCGCGTTAGAAATGCAGGGCGATATAGCATCGATACTTCAATGCCGAATTATCGATATTTCGTATCGGTGTTTTGCCATTCGAAATTTTCACATATCGATACACGACCCTCAAATATCGAACTCTCCGATACGCCTGTGCTGGCTGTTCATGGCGGCGATCATTTTTTCGATTTGATTGTCTCCTGATGACTCAATCTAAAAGTTTTAGCAATTAAGTGGCGATTGTTAATTGTGATTCTGGTTCCGTCCGAGAGGCTATTTCGCAAAGCAGATAAGATAATGGCCGAAGAACGAAATCAATTGACGAGTGACTATCTAAATCAGTTATTATTTTTATAATACAGCATCGAAGTACAGTGATGAAAATGTCCACGAAAATCTG